TTTGCAATAAGCTTCTTGAATTGCTGCATTTCACAAACTCGATCTATATTAAAGTCAAGTTCATATAATGTTCAAGGAAGATTCTAATGGGTTTCATTTTGTACATCAAGAGTTCAAAATATTTATCCAGAGTGCACGGTATAATCATATAACTAATGTTAAATGTTTGACTGACTTCTATTTGGGCTAAGGTAAGACATCAACCGTGATGGCGTATGTGTGTGTGTGTGTATATATATATTATATATGATTCTTCACGTCTCAGTAGCTAAATTCGGATGTTTTGAACTCGACTTTCAAAGGAAAAAACACCCATGTTTAAATGATACATGTGATCGATTTACGAATAATTACACATCTTTTATATAATTACTAACAAACACCGATAAAGGGTGTGGGATAAAAATAAAGTTGAAAAGCTCCAACAGTAAGGGCAGTTTAGGCAAGCTTAATTAAGGGTAATGAAGAGACCAAACATCAAGAAATAAATGTGTATGGAGGAGCTTCAATTGTTGCCAACACACTGAATTCAATAGACTACTGAAGAACCAGCTGAGTTTGCGCTGGATGATTTATTTGAAGGCATGCATGCACTCTTTAATTTAGAAGTTGACGTTGCACAGGGCTGTTAATGCCATCTCCCTGAATAAAATCGTGCCATGACTATATACCGCTGAGAGGAATTTGTGTAACCGACTTCATTTACGGAACAAAGTTAAAAGATGACGATGATGAATAATTCTTTTTAAAAATAATACATGAATATTGACGAGCGTACGCGCATGTATGCACACTCGCTTGATATTCTAATTTTTTAAAAAAAAATATTTTTCAAAATACAATACATTGAGAATGAACACATGCAACTCCACACGTACACCATTACATTACGCAACACTATTACATAAAAAATGTTACAATGTGTTTTGAGTCGGAAATAATTAGGTGTTTTCATGTGCATCCAAACGACGTGATATCTATATCTATACTATTATTAAATGTGCAAAAAGTTTCAGGTGTTTCAGTATTTCAATATTTATTTATTAATATAAAAAAAAGAGTTTTTATAAACAAAAAATTACCTAAAAATTATTTAAAGAGTTTAATTTAAATTAAAAATTACCTAATAAAATTTATAAAAATTAATTTAAATAGTTTAATTCAAATTACAAATTACCTAATAAATTCATCTTTCTTGTTCCACATTGGTTTTAAGTAAAAAGGATTACATAAAAACTTCTTATAAAACTATAGACCTAAAGAAACCTAAAAATTATTTAAAGAGTTTAATTTAAATTACAAATTACTTAATAAAATTTATAAAAATTAATTTAAATAATTTAATTCAAATTACAAATTACCTAATAAATTCATCTTTCTTGTCCTACGTTGGTTTTAAGTAAAAAGGATTACATAAAAACCTCTTATAAAATTATAGAACTAAAGAAATAATAATCACACATTTCTTAGCCTTTTGACTAACCTTTCTTGACCTTTTGGCGAAGATGAGGTGTAATATTAAATTTTTATGGGTCGACCTTTTGGCTAACCTTTTTTGGTCTTTTGGCTAAAATCAAGTGTATGTGTTGTACTACTTTCTCGACCTTTTGGCTAACCTTTCTTAGTCTTTTTGGCTAAGATCAAGTATAGTATTACTTTTTCGGCCTTTTGGCTAAGATCAAGTGTAGTACTACTTTTTCAACCTTTTGACTAAATTTTCTTGGCCTTTTGGCTATGTTATTTTTTAAAAATAGGCCGGCTAAGTACCACAAATGCTTCATATATGTAAACACTTCAAACATGTGACAATATAAACTTTAAAATCATGACAATACAGGTCCTCATTGAACAGTAGTGACACGAGCAAAATGATGTTAATCTCAGGAAAAATATAACAAATGAAATTAAAGAAATTAAGAACTACAAAAATTAAAATGGAGCTAAAAGAAAAGGTTATGAAACATATTAAAATGCTGAGATGATCATAGACAAGGAACATAATAGCCATAGTTATAAGTCTGGCCTTTTGGCTAAGATCAAATATTTTTTTATTAATATAAAAAAAGAGTCTTTATAAACAAAAAATTACCTAAAAATTATTTTAAGAGGGTTAATTCAAATTAAAATTACCTAATAAAATTTGTACAAGAGTTTCAATGCTTCAGTATTTTGGTATTTATTTGTTAATATAAAAAAAGAATTTTTTATAAACAAAAAATTACCTAAAAATTATTTAAAGAGTTTAATTCAAATTATAAATTACCTAATAAAATTTATAAAAAATTAATTTAGAGAGTTTAATTCAAATTACAAATTACCCAATAAAATTCATTTTTCTTGTCCCACATTGGTTTTAAGTAAAAAAGGATTATATGGAAACCTCTTATAAAACTATAGACCTAAAGAAATAATAATCACACATTTCTCGGTCATCTGGCTAAGATCAAGTATAGTAGACTAAATTTTTTGAGTTGGCCTTTTATTAAATCAAAGGATACCAGTATAAGAATTTTTCATCTGTAACAATCTTTAAAGCATGGACACGCAGACATTATCTTTAAAAATTAAAACTGTGCATGACGAGCGCACAGCAACTAAGTGCATCTTATACATGTTAGGTGCATAGGGCTTATTTTCGCAAATTTTGTTCAAAAATTGCGGTCTATATTTTAATTTTAGCTTTCGATTAGAATTCCCAATAATTAGTTTAGTTTGCTGTGTTACCTCAATCCAAGGGAAGATTTAGAAGTCAAAGCTACATACAACTATTTATTTATTTTCTACTACTCCTTGATTACCATATTATTTTGGTAGAAAAAATGTTAACATTACAATTTTAGTAGAGTTAACTTTGCATATTAGCAAATTGGAACCAATGACTTCAATCTTTTTATTTTTTATTTAGTTGCAGCTTGAATGGGTAAGCTTTGTATAAAAAAACAGCAAAATAAGAATTTACAAGAGGTCCTATAAGATGAAGGGTTCTCTGAGGACGAGCTTTAGGTGGATCAAGGACACTTACACCCAGGTGGTCTATGGATGGATGTGATTGATTATTGGATATTTTTTCATTTTTCTTGCCCCACATTGATTTTAAGTAAAAAGGATTACATAAAAGGCTCAACTATAGACCTAAAAAAATAATAATCACACATTTCTCACATTTTAGGCTAACCTTTTTCACCCTTTTGGCTTAAGATCAAGTGTAATACTAAATTTTTTTGGGTCGACGTTTTGGCTAACCTTTCTTGGTCTTTTTTGCCTTAGATCAAATGTAATACTATTTTCTCGGCCTTTGTACAAAGAGTTTCAGTATTTCAGTATTTAATTGAAATTACAAATTACCTAATAAAATTTATAAAAATTAATTTAAAGAGTTTAATTCAAATTACAAATTACCTAATAAAATTTATTTTTCTTGTCCCACATTGGTTTTAAGTAAAAAGGATTATATGGAAGCTTCTTATAAAACTATAAACCTAAAGAAATAATAATCACACCTTTCTTGACCTTTTGGTTAAGATCAAGTGTAGTATTAAATTTTTTTGGATCGGCCTTTTGGCTAACCTTTCTTGGTCTTTTGGCTAAGATAAGGTGTAGTATTACTTTCTCAGCCTTTTAGCTTTCAGTATTTATTTATTAATATAAAAAAGAGTTTTTATAAACAAAAAATTGCCTAAAAATTATTTAAAGAGTTTAATTCAAATTACAAATTACCTAATAAAATTTATAAAAATTAATTTAAAGAGTTTAATTCAAATTACACATTACCTAATAAAATTCATTTTTCTTGTCCCACATTGGTTTTAAGTAAAAAGGATTACATGAAAGTCCTTATAAAATTATAGGCCTAAAGAAATAATAATCACACCTTTCTTAGCCTTTTGGCTAAGATCAAGTACTAAATTTTTTTTAATCGACCTTTTAGTTAACCTTTCTTGATCTTATTTATTAATATAAAAAAAGAGTTTTATAAACAAAAAATTACTTAATAATTATTTAAAAAGTTTAATTAAAATTACAAATTACCTAATAAAATTCATTTTTCTTGTCCCACATTAGTATTAAGTAAAAAAGATTACATGAAAGCCTCTTATAAAACTATAGACCTAAAGAAATAAAAATTACACCTTTCTCTTTTTTGGCTAAGATCAATTGTAGTACTAAATTTTATATTGTCCTCGATGCAACACAACAGAGCTAAGTATGGAACATATTGGAACACTTGCAACCCTAACAGTGTTCAATGATTGACAAACATTAATAAATTGTTCATTAGATAAAAATATAAATAATTATATATATAAACAATAAACGATTAAAAAATATATAAAAATATAAATTATATAAGTTAGAAAACATTCATCGCGTGCATCGCACGTACCTTTTACTAGTATATATATGTATACATGAATATTGACGAGCGTACGCGCATGTATGCACACTCACTTAATATTCTAAATTTTTTTAAATTTTTTTAATTTTTTAAAATACAATAAATTGAGAATGAACACATGCAACTTCACACGTACACCATTACATTACGCAACACTATTACATAAAAAAATGTTACAATGAGTTTTGAGTCGGAAATATTTAGGTGTTTTCATGTGCATCCAAGCGACGTGATATATATATATTAGGGGTGGCAATTCGTGTTCATGGGTCGTATTCGTGTCGTGTCGAGACATGGGTATTATAACAAATAGGTCGACACGAACACGACCCATTTAATTTTCGTGTCGAGTTGGATAAACACGAACACGACCCAATTATTAAACGGGTAACACGACACGACCCATGTAACCCGTTTAATAATTGGGTCGTGTTTTATTGGGTTCAACACGACACGACTCATGTAATAATTGGGTCGTGTCATGTTGAATTCAACACGACACGACCCATTTAACCCATTTAACCCATTTATCAAATAAATCAGGTTAAGTTTGTTTCTTTGTTTGTTTGTTTGTTTGTTTTTTTTTTTTTTTTCATCCCATTTATGTTTATCTAAGGCATCAAAATAAATAGAAACAATATAATATCAGTTACATATCTTTTCAACCCAAATTGTTTCAGCAAATCATCCAACATATATATATATATATAACTTAAATCCACAAAGTCCCATTCATTCAAGAAAAAAGAAAAGTGGTCATGCTCTGGAACTGGAAGCTTGTCACTGGCTATTTCATTCTCCGAGACTGTCACTAAACAAAGATCATGACATTCCATCTCCAAGCTTGTCAAAAGCTTTCACCTCCACTGTAGTATGTAGTTCCTAGTCTTTTTACCTCTAATCTATATAAAAAGATAAAACTAATAAAAATCAAGTAAAAAAAAAAACCATATGAGCACATGAGCAAAGTATTAAACATACCATTCACTGGCTTCAATGAAGAAGGCTATTTCATTCTCCGAGCCTATCACCAAACAAAAATCATGACATTCCATCTCCAAGCTTGTCAAAAGCTTTCACCCCCACTGTAGTATGTAGTTCTGAGTCTTTTTACCTCTAATCTATATAAAATGATAAAACTAAAAAAACGTCAAGTAAAAAAAAAAACCATATATATGTTAGATGACATAGCTAAGACTTAAAAGAGTATTTTCCAAGATAAATTGGCTTACATATAGATATATTCCCACAATTAACTAATATATTCCCACAATTGACTAATATGTGGTGCTGACCAAACCCAAATCCCCAAATTCTCATCAATGATTGAAGGACCGTAAGGGTCTGTAATAGGTTCAACTTGCAGCAGATTTCAGCTCATTTTGCAGTTGGCATGATAAAATATGGATATATTTGTATCCATATTCCTTTCTAAAAATGGACACCTCAAGTTTGGGCATATGGCAGATCACAAAAGAGTTGAAGTTGAAAATTCACATGGTGAGATGAAAATTCCATGAGATTACCGGACAGATTAGCCAATTGTCGTCCTAAGTTGAAGTAAATTGTCTAGTATAGATGTTATAAAAAATAGATAAGGACTTGACTGAAAATATAAAAGAATAAACTGAATTGGAGACCAAACTGGTGAACCCAGACTGCTACCAATCAAAGAGAATCATTTAGCTCAAACACGATGACATGATATGCTCAAGGGAAAATACGTTTACAATGCTTGATTTATGTGTACAAAAATGATAAAAATTACAGTGTAGTTATGTGATCGGTGAAACTCTCAACGTTCAAAGTTATTTCTGCAAGAAACCATCTAACAGGAAAAAACAATACGATTTTCGAAAAGATGCTCCAAGATGTAATTTTTATGTCAGAACCCCTAACCTTCACAGTTCGTAGTCCTCGAGTCACTGTTTCTTAGTATCAATAGAGAGGCACCTCTAGTTTCATCAATTTGGTAAACTGCATCATAAGTGACACACATGACAAAAAAATAAAATAAAGAAAGGGAAAAAAAACAAAAAAAAAAAGAAGAAGAAGAAGAAGAAAGAAAACAAAATGACTTTAGTTCCTATTATTATTCCTCAAATGTACTTTTGAATGATGTGAAATGATCAATCCTTGATTCACTCCAAGTCTCCAACACAAAGAAGCTTGTATGCATATAAACCCCCCCTAACAACCCCCTTCCCCTCCTTTCCCAAAACAAGAGGAAAAAAAAACATACACAGGTATGTATATAAACCTGAGATGTCTTTAGTTCCAATTCCTCCCACTCTCCAGATGAATTACTTCCTTCTACTATTCCAGTTCCAGCATAAATCAATGCACCAAGACCCTGCGAATAAAAAAAGCCAGTATTTGGTAATGATGTGAATATAAAATTATATGGATTAGAACAAAGAAAATCTTGAAATTCTAAGAATTAGAACAAAGAAAATCTTGAAAATCTTGAACAAAGAAAAAAACAGAAGAAGAAAGAAAACAAAATGACTTTAGTTCCTATTATTATTCCTCAAATGTACTTTTGAATTATGTGAAATGATCAATCCTTGATTCACTCCAAGTCTCCAACACAAAGAAGCTTGTATGCATATAAACCCCCCATAAAAACCCCCTTCCCCTCATTTCCCAAAACAAGGGGAAAAAAAACATACACAGGTATGTATATAAACTTGAGATGTTTTTAGTTCCATTTCCTCCCACTCTTCAGATGAATTACTTCCTTCCACTATTCCAGTTCCAGCATAAATCAATGCACCAAGACCCTGCGAATTAAATAAGCCAGCATTTGGTAATGATATGAATATAAAATTATATGGATTAGAACAAAGAAAATCTTGAAATTCCAAGGATTAGAACAAAGAAAATCTTGAACAAAGAAAAAAAAAAAAGAAGAAGAAAGAAAACAAAATGACTTTAGTTCCTATTATTATTCCTCAAATGTACTTTTGAATGATGTGAAATGATCAATCATTGATTCACTCCAAGTCTCCAACACAAAGAAGCTTGTATGCATATAAACCCCCTATAACAACCCCCTTCCCCTCCTTTCCCAAAACAAGGGGAAAAAAAAAACATACATAGGTATGTATATAAACCTGAGAAGTCTTTAGTTCTAGTTCCTGCCACTCTCCAGATAAATTACTTCCTTCCACTATTCCAGTTCCAGCATAAATCAATGCACCAAGACCCTGCAAATCAAATAAGCCAGCATTTGGTAATGATTTGAATATAAAATTATATGGATTAGAACATAGAAAATCTTGAAATATAAAATTATACAGTCATGTCAACCTCCAAAAAAGAGCGTAGTTCAGTAGAATCATATTGTTCTTTGTCATATGCAGATTACTAACAAAAGGATCACTTCCAAGCATATGCTCTTTGTTAACCAAAACCACCAAAAAGGATATTCACTGGCTTCAATGAAGAAGGCATGATCAAAAGATAACTTCCAAAATAGTAGTAGCACAAAAAAAGTTTCACCAAATAGAGAGCTGAAAAAAAAAAAAAAGCACAAGTTATATCAGTATTACAATTTATTTGCTAAAATATTAATAATAAATTGAGTTATAACATCATTAATACCTTATTGAACCATATCAGCACAAGTGTTTAAACATTGTGCTGAAGGAACGCCCTCTTTATTACTCATGGTCAAATCATCAAACTCCACAACAAGGTCATCCAATTGAAGTTGCATGCTCTCTTCATTTAAAAACACCAAAAGAAAAATTAATATAAATACCAATGAAAGTAAATTTAATTTAATTAATAGAAATTTGAATTGATTACCTTTTATATTAAATAACCAATCTCTTGTGCAAACCAAAGCCTCCACATTCTCAGGTTTAAGACAACTACGGAATTGATCAAGAATTCAACCACCAACACTAAAAGCAGGCTCGGAAGCAACCGTAGACACTGGAATGCTTAATACATCTCGAGCCATACGAGAAAGTACTGGATACCTGAACTGGTTGGCCTTCCAATATACAAGCACATCAAGGTCTACTTTCCTATCAACCTTTGGCTCATCCAAATACAATTCTAATTATGATTTTTAAGCACTAGCAAATTCATCACTTTCAAAACTATCAAATTCCTATATAAAAAATAAATAAGTAAAAGCAAGTACTCAAATAAATATTTTACAAGAATAAAGTAAAACTAGTTAAAATACGTAAATGAAAAAATAAAATATCAAATTACCTGCATGATATCTCTACTCTCTTTTGTCCAAAGTGCTTCTTCTCTTTCATAAGAACAACTTCCAACTGTTTGTGAAATGGCTTTTGTGCTCATAGGAGAAGGAGAATCATGCAAATACTCATTAAAGAGACTAAACAAGTTATCACGGACCTTTTTGATCTCTCTAGAATCATACCCATAAATCTTAGTGTAACTAAAAGCCACAAAATAAAGCTTGAAACGAGGGTCTAAAATCACAGCAATAGCAAGGATCATGCTAAATTCTGACCAATATTTAAAGAATTTCGAATACATTTTAGTGGCCATGCTAGACAAGAACTCATCCAAACTCTCCTTTTCAGTTAGCAATTTTCGTTGAACTAAAAACACAGCAGGGAAGTACAAATTTGCTGTAGCATATTTTGTTCTAGAAAAGACTTTGGTGACATTATAAAATTCTCTTAAGAAATTGCAAATCTTCTCCACTTTGCTCCACTCATCTTTAGATGGACAATGCTTATAATTTGAGTCACTTAATGCCATGTGACAAAATGCACGACGATAATAAATGGCACACTCAAGCATAATAAATGTTGAGTTCCATCTTGTAGAAACATCTTGCCTCAAACCTTTTTTAGAATCCAAAGACACATGAGAAATGCATTCCAAAAATTTTTGTTTTCTCCCCGGAGAACCTTTAACACACTTAACACTTTCACGAATCTTAATGACAGATTCATCAATTTCTTTTAAACCATCTTGCACAATCAAATTCAAAATATGAGCACAACACCGAATATGAAAATAATTACCATCACTCAACAATGCATCATTTAAATTTAATTGACACTTCAACATGTCAACAAATGAAGTATTTGAAGAAGCATTGTCCAAAGTGATTGAAAATAGTTTTTTCTCAATCCCCCATTCGGTTAACAATGTGTAAATTTTTTCATTTATGGTAACCCCATTATGTGGTGATGGCATGTAGCAAAAGTTCAAGATTCTTTTCTGTAATTGCCAATCATCATCAATAAAATGTGCAGTCAGGCACAAGTACCCATCAGTAGTTAAAGAAGTCCATAAATCAGATGTCAAACAAATCCTACCCTGCACTGATCCTAACAAGTGTCGAAGCCTACCCTTTTCAGTTTTATACATTTTCAAGATATCAGCCTTAGCAGTATTCCTACTAATAGGTTGAAAATCCTCACATAAATATCGACATACTGCTCTAATGCCCTCATACTCAACAAATTGAAAAGGTAGCTCATGCATTATAATAGCAGCAGTCAATAATTCACGAAACTTTTCAGGATCAAATTTTGATGAATGCACTTGAGATAAAAGAAGCTGACCTACATCACGTGTGTTCTTTCTGATACAATTATCAATATGCCGCTTCATATTCCCAGTTCCATACTTGGAACTACACAAATAAACCGTCCCGCATTTGTTGCACTCGCATCTTGGCTTCTTGTCTTTAGCAAGATGACGCATCTTAAAATATTTCCAAACGGCAGAGGTGAATTTTCTTTTTCGTTTTACAGCTTTTTTTGGTTTGAAAGCTTCCTCATCTCCTTGTAGCTCTTCAACTTCATCGCCACTTTCTTCAACATCTTCAAGGTTTATTTGAATATCAGTAGCAGCATCCATCTACAAGTTTGCACCGAAATAAAAGAAAAGTAAAAAGATAAGATAATAGAATACAAAAATAATTTACTAAGTTAATTTAATATATATTTCTTATTTTAAGAAAAGATTAGTTATTGTTCTAATTTCTAATACACCCAAATTCTTTTTTCTGTAATAATCTCTAGAGTTTAATACAAAATAATTATAACATAGAAATTTTCTTTTGTTTCAACAAAAAGTATTTCAAAATTTTTTTTCGCAAAAAATAAAATATAAGTGTGTGTAAATGTCTAAGAAATTATTTAACTCAAAAATATTTGTGGAATTTATATTTCAGTAAAGAATATACAATATTTCTAAACGATTTAATCCAAGCATAAAAGAAACTAAAAAAGAACAAGAAATACACTGACATACATATATGTGTGTGCTTACATAGAAAATTAGAAATACACAGAGACATATATATATATATATATATATGACTTATAGATGGTGTGGTCCAGCTTTGTCTTTCTGGGAAGAAAGGTAAAGATGATCAAAGAAATTTATCTGTATAGCCCAAATCTTATATTCTTATATACTAAAAATAGAACCGGCATCAATTGAAAATATAGAGATAGTGTCTGAAACATTCATTAGATTTTGAGCCTAAGCAAAGATTTGATTACTCTCCCTTTGACCATCTTCTGTCAAATCTCAGAAGAAACACCAATGAACCAATCAACACAACACACAAATAAATAAAGCACTAACACTAACCATATTTGCTAAAAAGAACCTCGGAATATCAAGTTCGTAGTGATAAAAACTATATTTCAGTATGCTGCTTGTAAAACTGCCACATGAGGAATCGAAGACGATCAAAGCTAGGGTTCGTAATCGCCTTTTGCTCTCTGTCGGCAGAAACAAAAAAATGGAAATAGTGAATAATGAATATAAGAGATAAGAAATGAAATAGGTACTAAAATCGAATGATCTGTACCTTTGTCGACTTTGTGTTAGAACTCGATAGAAGGAAGAAATCACATGAGGAATCGAAGAAGATCAAAGGCTCAAAGCTAGGGTTCGTACTTCTTAATCGCCTTTTGCTCTCTGTCGATAGAAACAAGAAGATGGAATATGCCGTATGCGATAATGCGATAGGGTTAGTGCTTTTTTTCTCATATTTTTAATTTTACACCTATATAGACAAATTTACTAATTTAGCCTCTCTTATTTCACAATTTACTATTTTATATTTTAAATGGGTTTGGTCGTATCCGTGTTGACACGACCCGTTTAACCCGTTTAATTAAACGGGTTACGCGGGTTGAACCCGAACCCAACCCAATTTTTTTCGTGTTTTAATCGTGTCAACCCTTATCCGACCCAAACCCATTTATACTAAACCCAAACCCTTTTATCTCGTGTCGTGTTCGTGCCGTGTTATCGTGTCGTGTCCAATTTTGCCACCCCTAATATATATATATATATATATATATATATATATATATATATGTGTTGATGTATAAAAGATCACCATCCTGATCCATATATGTACTATTTATAAGACACGCTCCACACACTTCAATGTCTATATATTAACTTTGGAAAATCTCGTGAAAGTTGATCCTAAAGGAAAGTAGTGATGGACAACAATAGCAACGACATGACTTTTTGAATAAGCTCACAAGGTCGATGATATGGATTGTTGAAATCACTTACATCAACTTGAAGTATAAATAAAACTAGTGTTCATGGCGTATTTACCCGAAAAAGAGACAGAAATGGAAAAAGGGAAGGTCATGAATGGACCCCATCCTGTAATTGAATCATGCAAAAGCATTTTTTTTATCTAATATATTTTTGTATCTTCAAAATAAATATGTTATATGAGTATTTGTATCATTTTTGCATAGTTATTGTATTATTGATGTAATACATATGTTATATTTTGTGCAGTCCCAGTCCAATGGTAGGGCATGTATTGTTTGGGGTCTTTGGCCCGTGTTCGAAATCCACCAGCATTATTTCTCCTCCCCTTTAACTTCTAACTTCTTAGACGTGACATTCTGTATTTAAATTGCACCGGAGTATCCTAAGAAATGTCCTAATTTTAATATGAATATATTTATATCTATATATTCATATTAAAACATTTACACCTATCTTTTAAAAGTGATGGCACACGAGCAACATTAATATTTGTTGTGACATTATAGTCGGCTCAATTTGGTGACAAGAACAGTACTCCCATTTCACATGCGCATTAAAACCCTCTTCTGGAAATTATTAAAACCCTCTTCTGGAAATTAAAGAACCCGTACTAGGTTAATAACACTTCAACTTCTTATGATTTTCAGAAAGAAGGTAGCGTCCCTGTTATGGAAAAAAATAACTCTTCTTTTGATTTGCATATGTTGTCAGTCGCAGTGGCAAAGTCAAATTTTTTTTTTAACAGGGAGCAGTTATTAAATTACAATAATATGATAAGAAATTTTGAAACAAAATAAGGGATTTTTTCTGAGTTTTGATTCTTAAAAATTTTGTGGGACTCATTGGAGGAGGGGGAGAAAAAAAAAAGGGGGGGGTTTTATGAGATTTAAAAGTTTTGTTGGGCAAATGACTTAAAAAATGAGGGATTTTTATTATCAAAATTTATGTATAAGATATACAATTAATATAATATTTCAACGGGAGCAATGTGGCTCCATTGGTTGTCAGGAAATAGAACTGAAATTACATTTCAAAAAAAAAAATGAAATTAAAAGTTCATCTATTTTTTTATTTTTACATGAGATGTTAAGAGAGATTGGATGGAGACATACCTAATTTTTGATGTTATTTTGTAGACAATGTAGTACGTTTTTTTTTTTACTTAAAATGTGACTGCATGCAATTATGAATCAAGTCATTTGATGGTATTGGTGGAACCACGAACAAGAAAAAGAGGGAGGAATATCACTATCATTATGTTGCCCTTATCTGAAAAAAATAAAAAAAAATATGATTATTATGGTTGAGACTTCAAGTGCACCGAATATTAGTCTCTATTGTAATCATATTATAATTATAATTAAAGATCCTAACTTTCTAGCTGGTGATATTCTTTTACCTTGAGAGTCACATGACCCTATCAACCTCCTCACCTTGCCACAGTGGTACAAGACAAAATAATTATCACTGTTACTTAACAGTAAATCCTTCACAATCACAGTGGTACCAACTAAAGTAGGAATTGTAAAAAAAAAAATTGGGGTACGGTTTCGACAACCTCGTCCCATGAGAGGGATCTTCCCATGAACCAAAACACCTCTTTTTTTTTTTTTTTTTTGATTTAATACAAATAATTACTGTATGCATAATGTATATACAAATGTTTACAACATAAATAGTCTTATATATATATATATATATATATCTCTATATATATACTCTTGTAGTACTTTTATATATGTTCTACATATATCAAGTCATATCATGCAACTAGCAACCATCTCTCGCCCCATCTAAAAGGCCTTTTTAATCCCTTCACCCCACGACATTTGTTTGCACCTCTTAGCCAGCTCATTCCATTCAACACCAACACCAACAACACCAAAACCAAACCCCCCCCTCTCTCTCTCTCATCAAATCCTCTCTCTCTCTACACTGCTTGTCAACGTTTTCTCCACCAGATCTCTCGGAGTAACCCTTTGGAGATGCGTGCTTGTTGAGATTTCAACTCTCTGGTTTTCTGGCTCTTTCCTCTCTCTTTAATACATTGCGTTTTTAACCAGTACATATCTATATCTATATCTATATCTATATCTATACACGCACATATCTAATGTATGTGTAGTCTCAACTCAACATTGCCATTCTTCGTTATCTGTTCTTTTCGTTATTTTTCACGAGGTTTGGTTCGATTTCTCTCTGAAGGACTTGGTGGGTTTTTATTTTTGTGTTTTTGTGTTTTATTTTTTCTTGTTGCGATAACAGAGTTTTAGAGAGAGAAGATGGAGAATGGTTCTGTGGAGAGAGAAAGCGGTGCCGGCGCTTTCATGTTCAGCGATGAGGAGATGAGTGAGATAAGTGGGTTGAAGACAGGCGATGATTATGTGGAGGTGACGTGTGGGTGTACGAGTCATAGATATGGCGATGCTGTTGGGAGGCTTAGGGTTTTCGTTGGTGGTGATCTCGAAATCAGCTGTGAATGTACCCCTGGTTGTCAGGAAGGTCTCTCTCTCTCTACTTTCTATCTCATCTTTGCTCTTTCTGGGAAATGGGTTTCACTCATATGCATGCTATATTTATATATACGGAGAGTCCGTGGTTCACTGGTTTGAAGTTGATGGCTTTCACTCTGTGTTTTCTAGTCTGCTTTACCATCGAATATGGTTTCCTTTCGGTTTTCATTGATGGGCTTGAGAGCATTTTGAGATTTACTTTGTCTTTGTTTAATACAGCTCAATTGTATGTTGATTTGTCTAAGTGAAAGAGTTGTCCTTGCTATCATTCAACAAAATATTGTGTATCTATATTCCTTCACTTCTTTCTTTCATTGCTGAGTTTCAGAGTGGATCATGTTGTTTTAGTTGATAAAGACACACCTTTTGAAGTGGCTATGGCTAAATGAAACCTACTTTGTTGTTATTGTTTGTGATTGAAATGTGGTGTATGCTTCATTTTTTAAGTTTTGATTTCTGATGCTAGAGTTCTGTTTGGGGAAATGAAATCTTTGTATAATCATGTAGGATGATTTGTTTTCAACTTGGCTTTTAACCATGATATGTTATTGCTTTTGATGGCACATCTTCGCAACTCTTGTACACTTCAAGCTGATTCATGGTTAAGGCAATCAAGAATGATTTTTTCCAGAACCTTCTTGGTTTCTCTTAGGGATTAGAATTCATACTTAAGTTTTGAGAAGCCTGACTACTGATAGTAAAGCTAGCTAGGATGCCATGTTTTTCATTACTCATCAATAAAGGAAAAATAAAATAAGATTAAAGACGAGTATTTGATGATCGCTATCCAAAAAGTTTTTACATGATAATTTATTTTGCATATGCTTCTATTTCTTGTCAGTGCGAATCTGTTTCTACAACATGATAATTTATTTTTCATATGCTTCTATTTCTTGTTCGTGTGAATCTGTTTCTACAACATGATAATTAGAATTTATAAGGCAGGTGGTTGAAGCTCTGTGGAGCAACTTTTCTAACAACTGGGGTTTCCAACTTCCCACAACTAATAGGCTTCTGGTGCGGTGCTGTTCATTAAGATGGTTAGAGCATAGTTAAATCACTGAATATTTCTGAAGTTCAATCTAATATGCATGAAGAATTGATGTGGAACACTAGAATGTTAAGAACTTCATATTGATTGGGGACTGAAGTTTGGCAACCACTCTTGAGGATGTTGTGATTACAAAAGTGTATGCTAAGATGAAGATTTAGCCAGTGAAGTGCTGTTTTGGGAACTCTTATTTTCTTTATAGGAGGATGAATTGTGTCAGAGTGGTAAATTTTGTAGCCATCTTCCTCCAACTGACTTTTTCTGACTTCCGAAGTGTAAGCCTTCAGCATTTGTTGGGACTCACCATTGGAAATATCACCTTGTGTTCTTCTCACTGAACATTCATTTCTATTCATTCGTAATTGTAGCAACAGTCCTTATGGCATTTGAAAATAATTTGTTGGATAATATGTCTCAATTGCTCAATGTATTCTCAGGACGAGTCCCATAAGCAGTAATTAATATTCTTAATCCTGGCAACTATACTGCTAGGAATGTTGGGCTAGTCATGTAAGTTATTATTAATTACTTTAAGCTTGCATGAGAAAAACCAGTATTCTTAGTTGAGTGCATATGCTTATTGAAAATAATACTACATTGGTAATTCTAATTTTATTCTTCTTCTTCTTCTTCATCTTCCTTTATTTATTTTTTTGCTGAAAACGTTTTCTTCAGGCTTTTTTATTTAAAAATGGTGTTTTTCTTGATTAGATAAGTTGACCCCCGCTGCATTTGAGAAACATTCTGGACGAGAAACTGCTAGGAAATGGAAGAATAATGTTTGGGTCATAGTTAATGGGGAGAAGGTTCCGTTGACGAAGACAGCGCTGCTTAAATATTACAATCAAGCATCAAAAAGTGCCAATGGATCCCATAGATCTCATAATGGTCGAGTTTGTCATCGTGATGAGTTTGTTTGCTGCAGTAGGTGTAACAAAGAGCGCAGGTTCCGTCTCCGCACCAAAGAGGAATGCCGGGCTTATCATGATGCATTAGCAGATGTTAATTGGAAGTGTACTGATATGCCATATGACAAGTAAGTTTCTCCTCCTTAAATTGAATGAATGCTTGACGAGTATTCTTTTCATATTATATTTTGATTTTTCTTCTCTAACATACAAAAGCCCTAGCAATTTTTTAAAATGTTACTGTGGCTTTTTTGCCACACAACAAAAATGAATTACATGTAAATTTGTGTTCTGTATTGACTACCTCATTATCTGTATCTATTTGATGTGTATAAAAGATTTGAAATGATAATACGTAGAAATGTTAATATAGTTCATCAGTCATGAATCTTTCAGACACGTTTGCAAATTTCAGCGCTGTATTTGCCTTATGATCCTAAAAGTTATGTTTTTTATTTATTAAGTTATTCTAACCCCATCATTTACCTAGCTATGTGTAAAGCTTAATTATTTGAGTACACTATTGTGGCATGCATTGAATTGCCAGTGCCATAGGGAGCTTAAATTATTGTGGGGTAGTTATTTTGTATTTTTTGGGTGATTTTTCTTTTGCAAATTAATAAATTGGTAACTTTTAGATACAACATTAAAGTCTATACTGATTATTTTAACTTTGGGTCCTTTGCTCAGGAACCGTTTAAACACAAGTGTAAGATTTTATAGATGTTGCTTTGTCATTACATGGTGATTGTTGATACTAATTAGTACATTTGTATTTTAGGTGTATTTCCTTTGTTGGTTGAATATTCTCTACATATCTGAGTTGTATCAACTTTAAATGCAATCGGAAGAAATGAAACAATTAGAATTAGGATGTAAAAGAGGATTTTGATATCTGAGGAACTCATGGTTCTAAGATGATATATTCATTGTTCACAATTACATAGTCGTCATCAGCTGTAATGGCTAGGAGAAACTCTTAATCCCCCCCCCCCGGCGCCCCCCCCCCCCCCCCCCCCCCCCCCCTTTTTTTTTTGATAAGTTTTAATCCCCCTTCTTTTTTCTTTTTTGATAAGTTTTAATCCCCCTTCTTTATCACCCAACACTCTTTGCTACTCTTTTTTCTCTCTTCCATCCCATGTATTTTGTTTGTTGTATTATATAAGATCTCTAGATTTTGGTTGTGCCATGAATTGACTTCTATTGGTCCAATTGCAGTCATACAATGTCCATCTTATTGCTGCAGCTAAGCATTACAAGGACAAATGTACTTGTTAGGCATTTTTGTATATAAATATTTTTGGTAAGTAGGCCAATTTTATAGTTGAGTTGCATTTGAGCACAGTTTTGTTAGCATCTCTGCACTATGGCCTTTTCTTTTCTTGCTTTTGGGAGCCAAGAGCAAGAGATTTACTTTTCATTTGAAGTAGATACTAGTTGCTATCAGCAGCTAAATTTTTGCCTTTTCCTTTGGTAAGTACTAACATTACCATCACTAATGCAACATTTGTATCATCACTATCACCACGGTCACTATCATCTCCACTGATGCCACCCCCACCATAACTGTTACCTTGAAGTCACTGCACCATAATTATTTGTTGTACGTAACCATATGTCACATAATTCTACCATTACTTTTTTTGTTGCTATATCCATCATTAGCACCACCGAAACACTACCACCGCCACCTCGGCTGTAACTATCAGTTTTCCCATAGCTGCCGTCTCCTTTTCACTGCTTCTATCCCCATCATTGCCAGCATTTCATGCCACTGCTGCCTTTTTTTTTATTGCCTTTTCTGCCATTCCCATGAACAGTAAGGCATTACATGCTTTCTTGTTTCCAATTTTATACCTGTTGCCGAACATCCTACTGAATTTACTCTGATTTTGCAAGAAGAGTCGAGCTGACAGAATGCTTTTTCTAGCTTCTCAAAAGTACTTCTATAATAGGCACCAAACATTGGCTCTCTACGAATAGATTTTTTCCTTCATCCAATTACTTACTATAACCTCCACGCCAATTCAAGAGTTTGTATCCCATTGGTTGGTTTTATTCTAATCTTGTGTAGAAGACGAGGTGTGAGCTATCTTATTTACTGTCTTTTGAGGTTTTACTTCTGACCTTGGTCTAGGCCCCTTTTGAGATTGAACACCTTCACCTTCACCTTCTCCTCTACTGTAAAATAGGGATGGTTAGTTGGGGTTGGAGGAAAAGGTTCCTTTGCCAATCCTATCAGGGTGGTATTTGTAACGACCCGAACCTGGGGTCCGAATCACTATCCGGGTCCTTACCAGAACCCGATGACACACAAGGGCAAAATAGTCATTTCAAGGTAAATATGTAGGGTGAGTTGAGTATGAGTAGTCATATGGTCCTCTCTAACCTCACATTAACCAAGTAACCCAAGTCCATAAGTTTCTAATGGTCATAGGTTTAGTTTCCCATTTTTACCCATTGTAGGTTTGAAGGATTTCCCGACACTACTTCACTAAAATTGCTATAACTCTCAGTATAGTTGGAATTTGGGAATGGGATTGATATCATTGGAAAGCTGACTTCAAGCTGGTCAGTTTAGACTCAAGAATGACCCAATTTGGGTTTGAAATGAGGGAGTTATGGCCGTTCGAAGTTTGGGTTGACAACCAGTGGGCAAGTAAGGGTGCTCGATCGATCGAGTCCAAGCTCGAACGGTGGGGCCTAGAGCATGAAATTTGAAGTTTTCTCAAAAAATTTTAAGTAGGAGAGGCTCTGATCGATCGAGTGACCCAGAAAATGGTCAATTTGGACTCTTATTGGTTGCCATCCATCCCAAACCATGAATTTAACCACCTAGGCCATACTAAACCTGTCCTAACTCACAACAATTATAGAATAACCATCCCATAACCTTAAACATCAATTTGAACATTCATCATAGCTCAGTTACATTCATGCTTAGTCTTAAAACAAAATGGTCCCCATTCATAACATACACCTCTTGATGACCCTGTGAATCCAAACAAAGCATAGAAAATGGGAAACGGGATCATGCTATTTTAGGGGAGAATAAACCAACATCAAGGTCAACCAATCCATGCTATATAATGCGATGCTAATGTCACCCCCCATTTCCAAAAACCTTTTCCTTTTATCCTTTCCAAACTGTTAACGCAACCCGGCCCATGGCAACTCCTTGTCGCCACAAGAGAAGGATTGGCTAACTATCCCTGATCTATGGCAACTCCATAGCGTCATTTGGGGCCTAGATAGCTCAACCACGCTAGGGCAGTCCCTCTAGTTCCCTCTAGGTTCCATTAACGCCACGTACACTAGGCAAATCCTAGCCGTCTGGTTTTCGCAAACCGTTCTTCAAAACTTTTCCCCAAAGTTTTTTCTTTTTCTTTTCAAAGCAATTCCCCATTTCTTGCCCAATGCTAATGCATGAATGCTTCATGCCTTTCAATGCCATGCCAATATAAAATTTCATACATTACACCTATATCATGCTTGCATGCTTTAGGAGTAAATTCCTGCACCAACATCACATTTTCATTTTTAACAATCATGGCCTCATAACAATTAAAGCATGTAGGAAAACCAACTAAGCACATATCTTTACAACAATTTCCTTAAACATGCATTTTAACACAATTTCCACATAGAACACCATATCATGCTTCACATACATATAAGTTCTAATAGCCATGAACAAAACCTACAATTTAGCGCGCAAGGATACAATTACAATAGAGGTAATTCACAAAAATCATGGAGATTGAGTCTTAGAAACCCATACTTCAAAAGTTTAAGCCAAAGCCCCAAATCAAGCCCTATATTTCAAAATCCCAAGGGTGGTCAAATGAAGATCGACTCCGATCAACTTGTAGCCCTCATCGAGCTCTTTAACTAAATCCAAGAGAAAATAGATGAAAAATGGCTTTGAAGTTGGAATTTTAGAGAGAACAAAAGTTTAGAGAGAGAGAGAGAGAGCATTTCGGCTAAAGAAGAAGAAGAAGTGCAGAATTTTGCACTACAATATTGCTATAACATGCATTAGTCAATGGCGGGGCCCACTTTAACCCACCAAAAGCCCATTTTGCCCCTCCCCCATGTGTATATGTATACATATGCTATAATGATGAAATTAAACACTTATCCAAATAGTTTTGCACCACATAGTGATGTATGAAATGCAGCGGCCCCGAAAATAACCCCGTGCATGACAAATTCTGTTGCGGGTCTCGCCCGGGACCTCCTGGCCTGAAAATTTGAAAAACGCCGAAATGGTCAACAATACATTTCTAAGAGTCCCGAACTCGAAGAAATGCCCCAACTGACTCTCGAAACTCACCCAGCACATCCCACGTTGTCCGCCATGTAAAACGAGGCGAAAGATTAAAATAATGCCGAAAAATAAAAAAATCCTAGATAATGGAAAAATAGAAAAATGAGAAACATTACAGTATCTGTACTACTTTGCTAATTGCCTTCTTACGCACTTATTGTTATTCTTTTTCTTTTTATTTATTCCTTGACCTCTATAATCTTCCCCTCAATGGTTCCAACAGAAGATCTCAATAACTTTATAACACAAGCTCTTATGATTATTTCGTATCTCTCAATTTATCTTCATTACCCTTTAAAAATATAAATCGGCGTGCTGTTTGTTCGATGCCTGATTTTGAAGTGAACAAGAGATGTTTAATATAATTTAATTGGGTTAAGATACATATAAAGGAAGCCTTTTTGTTCTGAACCATGAAGGTAGTTAACATGCCTGTCACAGGATAGAAGTTGTTGAATTATGGATGGAAGCTGAGTTGGATTGGCCAAGAAATCTTTAAGCTTGTTAGGACTTGGAGTTTGGTAACTTCCTAGGCATTCTCAGACTTTGACAAACGACTCATTTAATATTACTTCTGTTATCAGATAATGTGATTCTCTCCTGAAGAATGGAGGCCTTAGATATCTGTAGTGCGATTGTTGGAGCCACCAGTTTCACCATGTAGGGGCAGTTGCAAGCAGATCATTTCTTTTGGGTAAGAGAAGATCCACTTCATTGGAGAGAATGATGCCTATGATAATCTTAATCTTACATTTGAGCAAAGTGAGACATTGTTACTAATGATTCACGAGTAGTTAATTATCAGAAATGAAATTGTCCTTTGGAAATGCTAACATTCTTTTAAAGCACACAGATGTTTAGTTGGTACCTGGTACAACTAGCGATTTTTTTATATGATGATGTTCTTAGGGATATGAAAAAACAAAATGTAAGTTGCTCATTGACGAAAGCAATAAAATCCAATCTAAAGTTCGGAAGAGATGTCTGAAAGAACATTGACATCCTTGATTATATAGAACTAGTGATTTAAAATAATGACATAGTTTTGGTGACTCACCTTTTTAATCAGGAAGCTGTACAGCATAAATTATCACGTGATGTTGCTCATTAAGGTGGCCTGTCTTCAGCCCATCAAACCTGAACCTGGCTCAAAGAAAGAGAGCCTATTGACTATCGGTTACCTGTCCCCCAGTATCACCTGACCACCACCTCCTATAATGCCATGTCAGATTTAACGACTCTTTTGAACTTCTTATTGCATTCTATAAGTATCATGCGTGCCTCATAAATTATTCAACCTCTACAGTCATGATCTTTGGCATACTTAGTATAATATCCTAATCAAGTAACCATAGAGCTACAAGGCTTGTCCTATTGAACTGCAAAATGGAGTCATGCCATCATCTGCCTACATACCAAAGTCGGTTGAGAGGCCAGAAGACCTTCACCACCAAACCCACTCTCACTAAAGAAGCTCAACTACCTCAGCCCACGCGTGAATGCCTTAGTCAATCTTTTCATGTGATCTCTCCTGTAATACCTTCACCTTCAGGTGTCACAGGTCATCATCATATTGTCAATCTTTTCTCATCAAGCTCACCTTTGCTTCTACCTAGCTCAGGCCATTGTGGACTTGCAATGTATTTTGAGCAATACCTCTATCATTTTAATAATCATTTTGAACCCGCACTAGCTATACAAGTGTCCACGAAGCTCCATGAAGAGGGAACTGCATTTTATAATACGTAAATGCTGCGCACATGCTTATGTAGTTGGCATTTGTGTGTTTTTTTTTTTTTTGTCTGTGTTTGGATGTGTGGGCAGATTGTGTCTTGGTTATATAAGTTGGTAGATAAGAAAGCCAGGATACCACAACTGACGAAGCATCTAGGGTAAGACACCACAAGAATATCATCTCCAATAAAGCCATCAATTCTCAGTTCTACATGATAAAACATTCATTGGCAACCAATATATATATATATATATATATATATATATATATATCTTAGAATAATTTGAACACCACCAAGGATTGTAGCCTAGTTGTATCTCCTCTTCCTCCCAAAGTGGAAGGTGAGGGTTCAAGTCTCCTTAAAAACAAATGGGTGTATGACCTGAAAATCTGCTATTAGATGCTCAATCAGCCAAAAAAATGTGGTTAGCTGGACCATTCTTTCATTAGTCTCTTTGCCCACATTTGCGTATTTACTTCGTTTTTAATATACTTGTAACATAGCCTTTTGAAGTTATTGGTGCATAAAAAATGACCTGTAATGGCTATTAGAAACATGTGTGTGCAGCTGGACATTTTTAAACAGAAAAATTCTAAATGTGGAAATATCCTTTATCATGAACTGGGATTGTCAACTTCAAAATTGCCTCTTTTAGCTACTCGAGAAAAGCAGGTGATACTTGTTTTCTTTGTGAGATCTTTGACATGTCAATTTATTGCAGTGATTGAATTACACTTTTATGCACAGGTTGAGGTGGGATGTAAATGTCAATTGTAGAAACTTGGATGTAATTCTTTCCAAAGTTTTACTGTAAGCTTATCCAGTGCAAGGAATGGATGGAAATTGAATTTGCATATGCACACACAAACACATGCAAGTACATATATGTATTACACATGTATATACTAATTTATTTGTGCTTGGACCAGCATAATGTTTGATTTACATATGTAAATGTTTTTGTTTCATTTGCTACAGAATAACATGTGACGATGATGAAGAACGAGCAAGTCGCAGAGTTTATAGGGGCTGCTCCCGTTCTCCAACATGCAGAGGTTGCACCTCCTGTGTGTGTTTTGGATGTGAAATCTGTCGTTTTGCAGACTGCAGCTGCCAGACTTGCAGCGATTTCACTAGGAATGCAAGGGCTTGAATCTCCAAAACACTGCTTTCCAGTCCTTAAGTTTCCTTTTTATATTTGATGGGTTCCTTATTCCCATTGTTACTTCATTTAAACCCATGCCAATTTTTACAGAGAGCTCAAGTGAAACTCACTTTTTACATGAAACTGATTTTTCTTTCCCGAATCACAGCTTTTATGTGTTACTTTATAATTTAGAACTAGCAACTCCAGCAATTTATTAGCTTCAATAGACTGATTTCTTATGGATGAGATATTGACGTTTGCAAGCATGCTTTAGGAGTCGTTGCTCGAAGCAATGGTACCAAGTATTGGCGGCTAAGAATGGGTATATAGGTTTAAATATAAAGCCAACCACTTTATGTAAACAATGTTAAAGGTTAGATTGTCATGGGTGTACACGGATCTGTTCAAACTGTCAAGCCCATTTAAACTAATACGATATGTCGTCTGACACATGCAAAGATAATGGCTTTTGCAATGTGGGTCTTTGCTTTTGTTTTTCCGAGGAAAGTAATGCAGAAGTCTAGATTTAAGCTCGTTCTCGAAAGGCTTTTTTGCCTCTTAAGGAAGATTTGATTAGAGCATAGTTTAGCGACTCTTGTGGCACGAATATGGTACAAAGCCCTGTAGTTTCTGCCACCTCTAGCCAGTCAGGAATGGACGCACGCAACAAGATATTGAAGTTCTAGAATTTGTCCGGTCCAGCAATTCAGAACGTTTTTGTCCTTGAATGATGAAATTTTGAGAAGAGGCCTTTGATTGTTGAAGTCTTGAAGAAGGTTGTCACTGGTTATTTTGCTTATATATAAGGTTAACTGACCTGTGAAATGAATTACATTTAGCTTCAGCAGTAAACAGCTGAATAATATCAGCAAACTTACTCTACCTCTAGTTTAATGAATCGGTTTCTATTGATATAACTGTCAATGGAGGTTCCATTCATCCCTGCATCAATGTTTTACTCAGTTGGCATGGTGCCAAAAAATTGATCAAACAATTCTCATTTACTTGTACGGTTGCAAAATATCAAGTTCTGAGCTCACCATAGGTTGCAAAATCGAGTTCTGAACTCACCATGTGAGAAGAATAGGAGGAAAACAAAAAGGATGTCCAATAAAGAAGCCACTAGCCCTCAAACCCAATCGCATACAGGAAAGGCAAACAAGTTTCAAAATGCCAGCCTCTTTACAAAGACTATTATAAGTTTATCTACAACACCAACTAATTATTTGGATTGCTGCTGGGCTCTCCCTCTACCTCTCCCTCTTCCGAAACGACCGCCGCCTCTGGGGTATTGTCTCCCACCACGACCAAGATACACAGCCTGATTAAAATTCTGAGAAGCTTCAATGTGGCCTGGATTAACAGGTGGTGGCTGAAGATCACAATTGTTTTCTTTTTGCATTCCACTTGACGGAGCTCCTTGTTCTTCCACATTTATGGGTGGGCAAGGATGCTGGTTCCGCAATTCCATCCCAAACGGTGTTTGGTTGAAGCCACTTTGGCTTGCATATGGAGGCCAAGGCGCATATGCGGGTCCTGCAGAAAAATATGACTGCTGACCTGGTAAAACAAGATTAGATGGTAACATCTGGCTAGGATTGAACTGCTGTTGAAATGGCATTCTGTTCGGGAAAGGCATCTGATAGGATTGCTGAAGATGAGTCTGTTGCAGCCACGGCATACTATTTGTTGGATATCCATTAGGAAGAACAGTGCCTTGTTGCTGCTGACACGGCATCCCATTTGTAAAAACCCCATTAGAAGGTGTAACAAAACCAGGGGCCTGCGCCAGTTGCAGAAATGGTGGAACGCAGCCTGGACCGCCAGTAAAGCCTTGTCCTTGGTTAAAGCCTTGACCTTGGCCAAAGGAGTGAGGAAAATTACCACGGTCTAGTGGCACTGCAAAGGGTGCGATACAATGTTGGTTTTGGTTAGGTGGAAGCTTGCACACATCTACTAGCCCTTCTGAGGCTGAAGGTTGACCATTTTTCCTGGAAACATCTAGCTCTTCTGAGGTTGAAGGTTGACCATTTTTCCATGTTCCGCCACGATTTTTGAACTTCCTACCTTTTTTTGTGTTTCCATGTTTCTGGTCATTAGTTCCCCCCCTTTTTGTCATCTTCAGCATCCTCCTGTATTCAGCCTCTTTCTCATCATCTGAAAACTCTGCCTCATCCGACATCTCTTCGTCATTTTCACCAGATGCATCATACCCTTTCTTGTAAAGATTGGGGTCTTTGAGGACATGATCCACAAATTCTGGGACAAAAGAGATCAGAGTGCCTTGTTGAATCCCAACAGGGACTTCATTGTCTGAATTGTATCTTACCATGTAATAAGGATTCTTGACAGGTCCAAAAATTTCATCAACAAGCCCTAATGGGGATCTGCTTCCTGTTATCCAGAGGATAGAACCCTCGTTAAGAGGGTTGTGCTTCTCCGCCCCTTCCACAATGACTTGGGAACCGATAATCTGTATAATTGTAAATAAGAGCAAAAGCAATAGCATTTGAGTGACTGACACTCCTATGTAATTGTGTGTGAATGTGATGAAAGGATTTTTTTTTATTTATTATTATTATTATTATTTTGGTTTATTTTTAAAATCAGGTTCTTGTTTTCTATGAGCTTACCGATAAAACAAATCCTACTGGTAGGGTCTGATGATACGGTTGCAAGGTCACATTCACTGGAGGAACTGGAGGGAGATCCTGCATAAAAAAGATTACCAAAAATAATTTTATTGCATGCAGATAAAACACAACAGAAATAGGGATGTGATATTCACACTCCATAAAAGTATTGACACTCCAAAAAAGTACTCTTGCACTCCACCAGATTATTTAATTAAAGAAATGACACAACTGCCACTAAAAGTGGAACGTAAGAGTACTTCTGTGGACACAATTCATCTCATTTTTTTAAGGGGAAAAAAAAAAGAAGCAAGTGGAATGTGAGAGTAATTTTGTATAGTAAGAATATCATTTCCTAGATAGTGTCATAAAGATTCAGACTTACAAAAAAGTCTCCCGGACGGTCACAGTATTTCAAATGTAATATGATAGGCTGAGCCTTCATTAATTCAACTAAGGAAATAAAATGATGTAAGAAACGAAGAGTACAAGAAATTTGTATTTCATTAATTCAGGAATATAATTGTAAATGTTGTAGCCATTTTGTCCAAAATAATGTCAAAGGTTAGTAGAATCTCTAGTTTACACCTCCCAACACCCTTTGTAGGAGGGACCAATGTTAGATCATAACCTTTTTGTATAACTATAAAATCTTTTAGCCAAGAGAAAATCCATAAAGTGTTTACAAGTGAATAATTCAACAAAAAAGGTAATAAAGGAAGAAATTTTTTTAACGATCTAATCCAACAAATGATATGACATACTATAGCACATTCATGACCACTAATTACTATTTATACTTTCAGCGGCCTAGAGGTGTTAATATACTCTTATTATGGTTATTTAAAAAGGGTATTGATGGCACGCTTGCAAAACAATGAACCGGTGGCCCCCCAAATTTTCAATTTCATTTTTTTTTCTTCCAAAATCCTTATTTATGATTACCAATCTATTGTAAGTTTACAAAAGGAATTACATGTGGCCCCTTCAAAGTCCATTTAATCTTTTTAATTGTACTTTTAAATGTCCATACCTAGTGAAATACACACACACACACGCATATATATGTACTACCAGCCCACTGCATCACATCAATTAGGGGTGGCAATTTGACCCACCACAGCGAGTTCCACTTTCCACCACATATGGAATGGAGATGGTATTCCTTTAAACAGGTTAAGAGCATATATGGGATTAAGATACAATCGGGTTCGGGGCAGGGATAGAGATACAAGGATAACCCGCCTGGAACATATGTATCTCTTAAGAGAGTTATGGTTTCTAATTTTGTATCCTATTCTACTCAATTGCCGCCGCTCTCTTCTCTCGCAACTCCCAGTCTCGGCTGCTCACCGGCTACTCCTTTTGACCAACCACTATAGCCACGGCAGCTATGGTTCTCACCAGTAAAATCGTGTGTACTCTCTCTCTATTACATAAATATGTCTATGTAAACATATCATAGTTGTACTAAGGCGCAAAAGGCCTTCTGGAGCCTAAGCACAGGGTGCAAGTCTGATCGAAGTAAGGCGCGTGTATATAACAATGCATATTTAAACATATATTATTATATATATTCATAATCAAGCAATAATTGCAGTTAATGGAAGCAAGGAACCATAAATTTATGAATTTTGTCAAATATTTCATAAGGTTAAACAATAAGATATATGATATAGAACCTTTTAATTTAGTAGTCATTAAGTAAAAAAGAAAATGATACGAATAAATGATTAAAAAATACAAGGCGCGCCTTTTTTAAGCCTAGACCTACTAAAAAGCGTGAGCCGGAGGGCTTTATGTGAGCCTGATTGAAGGGGCTTCGCCTGTAGTAGGTTGAGGCGCTCTGGTTGAGCTTTGACGAGGGCTTTTTTGGAGCCTGGAACCTACTAAAAAGCATGAGCCTGAGGGCTTTATATGAACCTGATTGAAGGGGCCTGGCTGTAGTAGGTTGAGGCGTTCTACCTGAACCTTGACGAGCCTGGGGAATTTTTGGAGCCTTGGTATGCCTTTAACAACTATGATACATATAGATGGCGAACTTTCAGATCTCTATCTCTCTGTCAAGTTTCAAGGGTTTCTCTATTTTCAGCTACAACTGAAACTTCTTTCTCCCTCTATTCTCTCTCTATATTTAAGTAGTTATATCAGTATCGTGACTATCGTCTTTAAATGTTTATTTGTTAACTTCTCTGAAATTCCTCATTGTTTCTGCATTTTTTTTTTTCTTCTAATTGTGGTGCTCGTCATCTGCATCTGTATCTTCCCAAAATCCATATAGACAGACACAAATGAATGGGGCTAGCGAAGCGGGGACGGGCTCATGGAATTCATTTTTGTCGGGACGGGGATGGTAGTTGTACTTCCAACCCGTCCCTGGTTTATAATGGGATCATTGGGATGGAATAATATAATTTTAGACACGGCGGGGCAGGGTTTAGTTAAACCCGTCCTGAACTCACCACGATGTCATCCCTAATATCAATACTAGTTTGGCCTCCCCCGAACGAATATTTATGGCTCCGCCCTTGATGACTGAGTCATACTTCCCCACCAAGTTAAATTAGCAAAAGGAAGGAAATAATAAGGTTTCCATCTAAAACTCCATTCATATACAAAAGATTAATTTTTTTACATATTATTTAGCATGAAACTTACACTAAATCTTAGTATCATCTCAATTTTTTGTTTTATCTTTTATTCTTTGCAAATAATCACCCAATATTCTCCAATGTGACCAAAATGTGATACCATCAAGAGTTGCATTGACAAGTAGGAAAGTAACTTGGAAAAAAAAGAAGTATGAAAATTAAATTTCCACACTTGTTCCTTGCAAAACCAAGTAGCAAGCAATTTTTGAGGCAATAAAGTTAGAATTAGGCGGATTACAATCCACCTTATTAAAGCCCAAAAGAACCAACCTTTGAAGCTTTAGTTAAACATACATGTGCGTAAAAAACATTAGTGAAGTTTTAAGAGAGAGAGTTGTTTACTCGTACAGGTAGGAACACGAATTCTATCCTTTTCATGTCCAGTAAAAAACCAATAAACACGTTTCCAGCACCAGCCATTCCCTCTTTGGACATGGCAGATGCTAGCTGTGCCCTAATGAAATCATCATAAGCCCCAGAAAATCAGCCTATTCAAATAAAGAACTGGGTGAATCAATGGCCACAACAAATCAACCTATTCAAGTTAATATATTTTCATGTAACCTAAACGTGACTAACTAATTTAGGCAATATCCAACCAACATTCAAATCCATAAATAAATGCGCATAAATCTAATGAATAACATCTGAATTGCAAGAGGAAATTACTTGCATCAGTTAATAAAAGACATATAAAAAGCATAATGAAGCAATCTAACAAAAATAAAAAGCATAATGAAGCAATCTAACAAAAATTACCATCAATTACCTTAAGCTCATTCTTGGACCTAATGGGTCCTTTTGTAACACTGCCACCACCACCATCATCTTCATCGTCCTCACCATCACTCCAAGTAATCATCTCCCCTCCATCAGAATCCCTAATCTCACCTTCTTCTACATCTGTGTCTCTAGTTAACTTTCCCTTCTCCCGCTCATCCTCTTCATCTTTATCTTCTTCCTCCTCCCCTTCTACATCCTGCTGCTCAACCTCATCATCTTCACTACTAGAAGATGACGCAGATGATGATGATGAAGAACTCTCACTCTCCGACTCTGAACTACTATCACTCTCATCCCCACTACTATCACCCTTGCCATCAATGCTCACAGTTTCACCACTCTTCACACCATTCCCATTAACACAGACAAAGTCAACACTCTTAGATTCAGTACCATTAATACCTGTTACTTCACCGCTCTTCGCACCATTCCCATCGGCAACAACCGAACCACCTAATCCCTCTTCCAGACTAAACTTCCCCATCTCTTCCTCAATCGAAGAACCAAAATTTTCCATTTTCTCAGACTCATTACCAAATCGCTCACCAACAGTGGTTTCTCTAAGAGAAACATCTGCGGCCATCTTGATACCCTTCTGAGCAACCCCGAATTCAACCCCTTCTGTACCAACCGTATCAAGTTCTGATTTTGGCTGGATCAAATTTGGGTCTGGAACTTCGGCCATCCAATCCTTTATGGAATCTAAATCAAGAAATGAATCTGCGAAAGAGTCGAGTTCGGGAATGGAGAGGTCAAATTGATCGTCTGGGCTCCTGAGCTTTGAGAGGTGACTGTTGAGGTCGTCTTCAATGTTGGAATCAAACAAAAACCCCACCATTTTGAAACCGTGAGATTAGGGTTTTGTACATAATCCTCATAGTTATGCAAAAGGAAGGCATCGAAAGTGTATATATATATGCACGAATAAGTCGGGCTTTGTTTGGAAACCTTCTGCTGCTTAAACCCTAGACGGGGAGAAACTAGGGTTTTGAACTTGAAATTTTCATAATATTAAGCAAATAGGTCACACATGTTACACCCTTAGATTGCCACGCATCTTACACCCTTAGATTGCCACGATACTAGGGCCCACCTGTAGTGCTGACCTGTCGAAATCAAATAACCGATTCATGAGTTGACGCAACCATGATCCTCCTGATCAGGTGTGGGTTGGCCCAATCAGATTTGGCCCAAGACCTCTTAAATGACACGAACGAAGCCCGATAATATTTTTACCTACCTTGGTAAAATACAGAGATCCTCCTGAAATTTGGAGTAAGGATAAAAAGATGAAAGTTTGTCTATTTTGGAACAAAGACACCCCCTGAGATTTGATAGAGCTAGCAAAGACATCCCAATGATAAAGAATTGACATTTTTAACCCTTTGACTTTTATATTGACCAAATTGACTATTGAAATTACCTTTCTATCCTTAAATCCATACACATTTCTTTCGGTCTCTCCTCTCTGTTCTCTTCCTCCTCTTACTTGAAGGTATTTTTGGACAACAAATACCTTCAAGTACGTACATGAGTAACCAATATGCATTGAACCCATTTGCATGGTAAGGACTACCATTCAACATAAGCTGTACTCTTCTGTTCCAATGAACCCATCCTCTGCTTGTACTTGGAGAAATATCCCCGAGAAAAGAACCAAGAAAACCAAACTCCAAAGCTTCATCTCTCTCCCTTGCCTCCTTTCTGTCTCTAAATGCAAATTTCTCTTTCTAAATAAACTCAATATGAGAATATATCTATTCGAATATAGGAAGCAAGCTCTCTATCTTGCAATAAAGGAGTTCATAAAGTTTGTGATTGTAAATCTAGTTGTCGAAACAAATGTATTAAATAATGAAATCCCCACCTTCCTTTTTTATAGGTTAAGAAATAGTTGCATGCTTTATTCATTAATTAATGTATTCATGCTATTTGCATTCTAATATTTTATTATTTTTTTATTGTTATTATTTTTTTTTTTAAAAAAAAAAGAGTACTGACCAGTTAGGACCTATTTGGTTAAGATTTTTTTTTTAAAAAAATTGAGTTTTTAAAATATTATCAACCAAACGAATTTTGTATTCTTTTTTATTCTTTTAAAATAGAATTTATTTTCAGAAAATTAAACCAAATAAATGGTATACATTTCAAAGAAAACTGTACCGCTTTTATGCTAATTTATGCTTATTTCAAATATTAAAAATTAAAACAAGACCTTATTTTATTTTATTTTTTAAAGGTAAAACAAGACCTTATTATAGATTGGAAAAGCAGCAACATTTATTTGACAAGTGCCTTCAAGTAGTCATCACGTACTGAAAGAGGAGGAAGAAAACAGAGAGGAGAGCAGGAAAGAAATGGATATGGGTTTGAGGGTAGAAAGGTCATTTCAATAGTCAATTTGGTCAATATAAAAGTCAGAGGGTTAAAAATGTCAATTCATTATTATTGGGGTGTCTTTGGTAGCTCTATCAAATTTCAGGGGATATCTTTATCTCAAAATAGGCAAACTTTTCTCTCCTTGTTCTTACCCCAAACCTCAGGGGTGTCTTTATACTTTACCCTATCTTTATTTATCGTAGCTGCATGTAGTTGGTGAAGATCTTGGAATGTGCTTAACTGGAAATTTTACTTGTGTAATTTATGTTACATTTGGCAGAGGGAAGGATAGGAGAGGGATTCCATTGTTTGGTAGAAGAAAAAGAAAGGGGAAGGGTTTGTTTTGCTTCCATCCAAAAAGTTGGAGGAAGATGATATTTATTACATTAATTTAGAAAGATGTATTTGCCCGCTTTTTAATGTTTTAGTTATTTATTAAAGAACAAGATTTGCCTACTCACCGGTCTCTACTTATCCCTAATGTAGTCTAATTACAAATGCACACATAGTCTGTTATTTCAAAATAGATATAAAAATATATATATTATATAAGGAAAATATAGAGGGTGACTGAATTTATTTCCAAAAAAGTTATTTTCCTTATATTTTAATAAATTTTGAAATAACAGACTATATGTACATTTGTGTAGAGATTACCTGTTCACCTGTGAGTAAACAAGTCTTGTCCAAATAATAATAGTTATATCATTATTCCTTTCCATCCGGCCAAATAGGAGTGGGATGAACAGCATACTTCCCCACTTGTTCAAAAAAATTTATATGGCATGTCTTGTATGTATACATATATCTACAATGTTTAAATTTACATAGTCTATAGTGTCATAGCAAAATGCTCGTCAAAAAAACATTTTCTTGCACCACCAAAACAACTGAAAGTCAGTTTTCAAATTAAAATTGCTTTAGTATGTCGATTGGCAATTGTTTGAAAACATATATTGGCACTCTCAAAAAATATATACATATATATTCGACTTCTTGAAGACATATATCACACAAAAAGGAGTCTGGAACAAACATATACTGGTTTCAATAGAATCTGAAAGAACGATGTCTCAAGATTGGCCTCAAATCCCCAACAATGCTTTACAAAAAAACAAAACTAAAATGTCAAAAACTATACTTGTTTGTCTAGACTCTAGGGTCTTCGTTTATGTATATGATATTTAAGAAATTGCGTCAAAGAACTTAATTCTAGATCAAGCACTGAAAGGGATGAGAGAACAGGGACTTAAAAGAATTCCATTTCTCAGAATTAACCAACCAAAGAATCTGTCAGTACGTGCCATCTAGGTTCCATAGGCGTCATGTTATAGCGCTGCCATTACGCCCTGTCGTTTAAGTTCTGCAGCTTTACCACTGCCTCGGAAGTAACTGTATATTTGCTGCACAAAGGGGTACAGAAAGACAGGTCTGATTTAAGAACATGGTAAGAAGAAAGTGCTACGAGGAGCATAAATTGAAGCCGGATTATTGAACCTGGAGAACAGATACGCTAAGCAATGATTCAAGACAGAACAACCCAAAACCAATAAAGTAGAAGACCTGCAAGTAAAAAGCAAGTGTTAATTACATCAGGTTATGTCAAGATTGGCCATCTACTTGAAACCACTAACATGAAATTCTTTAAAGGATCCATTTCTTCTTGGTCAGTCTTGCATATTATTTAAATATCTGAAATCACCAAAATCTATACGAATAAGCTAGAATTGGTAAAAGTCAACAAAATGAATTCAATCTGTTCTTAGTTAAAATTTAATACGAAAAACTAACACTTACCCCAACTAAAAGATTATCAACCATAAATTCTAAGGCCGGCAAGATTCCTCTGTTACACAATCACAGCATACAAACATCAGTTGCATGATACAAAATATATTTATTTCTCTGTTACACAATCACAACATACAAGCATCAGTTGCATGATACAAAATGTACACTCGTGCATGCACAAAGGTTTTCCCTGTATATCGTTTGGCTTGTTTAGTACGAAATGAGGAATCTGATAAATGTAGTTTCCTAATAACTATTGACTTTATAGTAATGAGACTAATTATAAATTGTAACATCCAATGTTGGTTGATGTGCTTCATCTCGATTCCTAAATAGGACAAACATGGAGACCTTGGTTGACGTACTTCATGGACATGGCATATGTACAACATGGATCTGTCCACATGTCAGATCCTAAAAAAGTAGAACATGGGCACGGGCTGGACACAATATAAATATGTTTTTATTTATATACATCTATTAAATAACATGATTATTTCCACTATAGAAAATAAAAGCTTCATTGAACTCACAGAAAAAAGAAACAGCTTCATCCAACTCAGAGAGAAAATAAAAGGCCCATTACAATGAATTTATTTCCACTATAGAACAAGTAGTTCTCATTGTGTAATTCAGTGACAAATCCAGACTCATCCAGTACACCTATCATGACCTAACATGCAGAAATCCAGAATCAGTCCTTGATAATTTCCAAGAAATCTGAGGGGAATGCAGATGGCTATGCAGTGAACGGGGTGCGGAGGGAGGAGGGCTAGGGGGGACCTAATTTTTTTCAAATTCTTGTTTAATAAATATATACTAAAACTAAAATTCTTGTTTATATGAGCTGAAGAGAGAAAAAATAAAATTACACTAATAACTCCTCATGTTTAATAAATATAGACAAATTTTCCTTGTCAAACATTTTTGTTAGATGGTGTTCACAAGAAAAATATCTAGAATTATATGTTAATATCCATCGGAGAGTCTTGGGCGCACTAGGAAGGAGGAAAAATTGAAGTGTTATGAAACCAAGATGAAAAAAATGCCAATAATAACAATGGTATCATATATGCTAATATTTTTAGTTCTCAATTGTTAAATGACAATTCATATAACTACTCCATGTATAAGTTTTTAAAACACTATTCCATTTTGTTCTTGATAATCTTGTTTTATTTGAACTTGTGATATTTTTTTTATAGTTAAAATAGTACTTCTTTTTCTTAATCTTCAACCAAGGTACGTAAAAGGAAAATTAATTCTTTTAACAATATTTTCTCTTTACCAATTCTCCTTTTACATTAACTTATTGTTTCCTCTTCTCTATTTTTTTTCTTTCTAATATAATTTTCATCACTATTTATTTAGGTTGCATTTTTCTCATTTTTGGATTATATTTTCCTCAGTATATAGTAAAATTGATATTAAAAATAATATATATATATATATATATATATAATTACACAGAACTAGTCCCCCCACCCCAAAATAAATAAAATAAATAATAATAAAATTTTCTGTCTCTGCCTTGACAGTGCGCAACAGATCAGATTTGATCAAGCAACATGAGACCTACCATAATTCATAGCAAAATAGATTGATTGCCACATCTTTTAAGGCAAAATTTTGGGAGAGACAAAAGGAGCAGCAACCACTTTGTTTAATGCCATGTTACATGAACTCCAATATGTGTTTCAGGTCCCCAGATCCAAGGAAATATTCATACAATTTATTCTTGTTCTTTTATTTTCTAGAATAAAATAATATTTTCACTGGAAAGCAAAAGGAACATAATAAAATTTTATGTATAATTATATAATCAATTCGAATTGTTGCATATGTTTGTTACGTGCATGTCCAACCATATGTGTTAGACACATATTCCATACCCATGTCCACATATCATGTGTCCAACATGTGCGTCACACATTTTTTTTATGAGTCTGTAGAATGGGTTCAATATCTGAAAGTTGTGGATCATTACATGAGGCTATCATGTGCTCCAACTGTTTCCCTGGTACTATTGCAAATTTTTTTCCCGGAAGGATGGTACTATTGCAAATTTTTTTCCCGGAAGGGTGGTACTATTGCATATTGTTATTGAAGATATTAGATGCATTGATGATGGAGCAGTATGTCAGTGTCTACCTCTTTTTCAAGTATATCACTATGAGTATCGGCTTCTTTGTTAAGAGTCTCACTAATTTTTCTCAATAGACTTGAATAAACAAAAAACCAGAAAAAGAAGTGATGCTGCAGGCAAAACCCAAGGAAGCAAATATGACAGAAAACTCACGCAAGAGAGTTTCCCTTGAAAATAATTGGAGGAGCAACTGCAGCGAAGATGCAGAAGGCAATGTGAAACTGCATGGAGGAAAGAAGGAACAGGAGGGAGGCTTCATAAACACGTTCGAAGAGAACAAATTTACAATAAGAATATATAAGAACTTACCAGGTAAGACAAGAAAAACCACCCGAAATTAAGGGCACTATCAGTCCTGCAAAACAAATTGAGTACAAATATATAGCAGAGCATTATCAGGTAGATTCAATGTTTAAGGATAACAGAATTACTAAATCATAAGTATAATGGAGCCAGCAACATGTGGACCAAAAATCATAGATGTAGAGACTTTAAAATGTTTAGGACAATAGAATTACTAAAACATAAATATACTGGAGCCAGCAACATGTGGACCAAAAATCAGATATATAGATGAGAGACAATCATTTTTTGAATCATAACTCATCCCATTCTCTCACGATTAATATACCAGACATGAAACACAATAGAAGCGGATAAGACAGCCCTATGAAGGCTATAAGATCTAGTGGCTATTGACATGTCAATAACGTATTGTAATCCAGGCTCAGAGAGAGATTTCCATGAGTGTTTTCTAGAGTCAAAATGTCTAATCAATATATTATACAATCTATTTTTAAGTCATCAACATCCTCAGGATTATTGACATATTCCTAATCAGGGAAAAAAAAAAAAAAAAGAGAGAGAGATTATCAACATATGATATTGACAATATTATCATTGTATATATAGGCAAACCAAAATATAAACCAATTGCAACATAAACAATTTCTTTGGAATTTTGGATTGCATTTCAATTTCTTATTGTTTCACCCCCTATCAGGACTCAAAAACAGTTCCTTTCTATCTGTTGTCATTCTTAAATATTTTCTGAGTATTCATATTAAACTTCAGCCTTATCAATACCAGAGCAAATTCTTCCCTGTGCCTTTTAGTTTCAATTACAATGAGAATCTCATAATATTTTATCTATTAACTTGGAGCTAAATAATCTTCTTTATTAAGATTTATTTTATAATACTAGAAGGGTAAGGCATGCTATGCATAAATGCTCCATACATTATATGATCTCCCTCTTTCCTTCAGTTGTTACAACAGCACATTAAATTTCTCCCTCCGAAAAAAGGTGGTATGGACGTGTTAAGGAGAATAGTTAAAAAAGGTTTGACTTACCATTCATTTGAGGATTTAGTATACACCCTTACCCAGAAGCAATTCTTCCATCTTATGTGGGAGAACAAAAATAAAATAAATAAATGAAAAAAAATAAAAAAATAAAAAAATCAAGGCTCCAATTATCTCTATAAATAATTGACTGAAAAATGAGGAAATTAAGTTCCTAGTTTTTTTAAATAAAAAAAACACACACACACACAGCAATTAGTTTTTGCCCTCGGAAGACAATGCCTGGAACATTTTCCCATAAAACAGAGCCTCAACACAAGTGAATAAGGCTCTGGCCCAAGACCAAAAAAATATCTATAGCTCCAAAGATGTGTGCTTTGGCTCTCGATATATCCTAAGATCTGTACATAAAAGCATTTCCGAAATTCTCTCACATATAATCCGATCCGCGGGCTTTAAGCAATCAGTCAGATTATATAGGAAACCATTCCACGATCACCCAAATCGATTAAGCATGACATCAGATTTGTGTACTTCACTCTGTGACATTGTGAACACATTCCAAATGATTATTATATGCAATCAAATTTGCATGATACCTTCAGCCCAAAATATCCCATGGAACATATAAAACTAAATGGTTGGATTCATCTTTTGCAAGTACGTACAGAGCCAGGAGTTTCATAGGTCTGAATAGTGCACAGGAACCATGTTACCAGTCTTTGACTAAAATCAAATGAAAAGAGAAAATAATAGTACCTCATAGCACGATAAAGAGGACGATACCACATTATATAGGCTCCTGGAACCCCAGATATGAAGTAGATAATAGAAAGAAGCCAAATTGTTGGACCTATACAAAAGAAAATTCGCTAATAGTATTTAAATCAGTGATATATCAGTGAGAGGTTCATGGGTCTATGCGAAGTAGTTACGAACCAACCTTCCCCTTTGATCCAGGCTGTGGTTGTTGCTGCGATATTCCATAGCAGACAAAATACCAGACCTGTAAAAGGTCAAAGTGTTAGAAAAGCTGAACTCACTACAGACCATCTCAACTGGTTTAAGATTGAAACTAAACTAGAAAACAGGTATTGAACAATGGAAAATTCCACCTCAATCCAAAAAAATTCTATATTGAGCTAAAAAAAATTCCTGTAAATGGATAGGGATTTGAAGTTCACATACCCAACAATGTTGTGAATGCAGCATACTGCATTTTCTGTAAATGGATAGGGATTTCATTTGGAATGTCATGATGAATAATTGGAAAAAATGGAGGCCAATTTTTCGTCTCTAGAACAATTCCAGCTGCCAAACAAAAGATTTTTTTTTTTGCTGAATATGCACCCAGCAAATTGAATTCATTTGATTTGTTAACGTACACACAAATAAAGATAATAATACTACCTTGTGCAGCAGCATCCTCCTTCCGCCTTACTTCCTGCATAACATCATGAAAACTAATACCTGATTAGCATAAGGATAAATTATGCATGAAAGCGCATGAGATAAAAATGTCATATTTTTGCCACAAAGTACACATATGTCATCCAAATATAAAGCAAGATTGACATAGATTTTCAGGAAATCCAAATGGCAAACCCAGTGCACGATGCTCCCTCTAGGATCTGGGGAGGGTTAGATGTACGCAGCTTTACCTCTGCATGTGGAGAGGCTGTTTCCTTGTTTTGTACCCGTGACCTCCATCCAGGTCACAAAGAACAACCTTACCGTTACGCCAGGCTTGCCCTAATTTTCGGAAATACAGAGTACTAATAAAATAAAATGACATATAACTCTGCTATAATAACGTATTCGATGCTAAATTTTTGTTTCACCTAAGCGTCCAGTCCATGAATGGCTAAAATATTATTCCTCCTGGCAAGACTCACTACCACTCCTACTAAAGAGATTTCTCTAGTTGAACTTCATAATTAGCAATCAAATATAGCATGCAGTAGTAAACAATTGAGCTTGAATGGATTTCGTATCTAATTTACAGTGTCTAAGTTAACCATATTCAGAAGTTACCTTATGAATAAGTAAAAGGAAGTACCTGTTCCCTCCTTTTCAATTCAGCCTCCTTAGCTTGAAGTTCCTTCTCCTTCTTTTTCAAATCCTAGCATTAACAGAAAATAACAAAATTAATATATTATGACACAAAATATACAAAGAGTTGCACTAGGTAACCTATTATCTAGAGATCTTTGACCTGCCTTTGCACTATCAAGAGGAATATCAACTGTGGCACTGCGATCATATTCAGCAGGTTCAGGAGGAAGCGGTGAAAGCCTTGAGTTTGCAGGGGGAACATTTCCAGGATTCTGGGTGCCAGCAGATGCAATCAATAAAGCACAAGCAAGATAATAAGATATAAAGAACCAATACATCATGCAAGCACAACTTCCTCTTAGATGCAACATTATGCCCAAGCGTTCTGCCAGAAAAAAGGTTCATCAAGAAAGAGCTAGCCAAGCCAAGCGCTATGCATTGACTATTGACAAAAACATTAAAGGCTCATTTGAGTGAAGGAACAAGGATTAAGTTAGTGGTAGGGTTGAGTTTTGAGACCCCTAATTCAAATATCGTAATTGAGGTGTTTCCAATAAAACTGAAAAAAAATTCTACCTCAAATCCAAAACTACCTTTTTATTGATAATTTTAATTTACAAAATCCTCACATGGAACTAATCTTTTATAAATACTAATAAAGACTGGCTGATGCGAAAACAAATAACCAGAAGGACAGCCACTACCAACCCATCTACCATCATACCAGCCTATCCTAACCATTCTCCACAACAACTTCATTTATGACAAGCAGCACCCCTGCAAGCACATTAACATTCCTAACATGCCACCATTAGCACTACTACAATAATGAGAGGCCACCACAACCACCACCTTAGACTAAACCACAAGCACTCCCTCACATTTAAATTCATTGTGAACCCTGCATCTTCTTTACCACCACAACCTCAGGAACCAAGGAAAACTCCAAACTGACAAAAGAGTTCTAGTCCAACCATATTTACCACCCACTCATCACGACAGCCACTGCAACAATCCATTAGCATTGCAGCCATAGGCAAGCTACCACCATTAATAGAAGTAACCACCACCTCCAAAGCACTGTCACTGCCAACCAACCATTACGGATTACGGAGCAATTATAAGACTTCACAACACCAACACCACCTCTGACAAGCTATCACCACCATAACCCGATCATCTCGCCATTAACTATCACCACAACTGGCAATCTGGCACCACCAAAAAGAACTGTCAAGCACCACCACTATCATCACCATGACTGCAGCAGCATCTACTGCACCAACCTGTATGTCCAGTACCACCGTCTTTACAACCAACATGTCATCACCTTTAGAAGCCATTACCGGCCAACAAAACCTTGAAGCACAAATACATAAAATATACTTAAAATATCCACGAATGGAAGAGCTTATAATTAAAAAAAAGTTCATCTTTCAGAGCTGCCTGCACAAACATCTCTCAAATTGCTCCAAGCAAAAACACAACACTTAAACAATTATAAACTGTTTTTTACTCGTCTTCCTTTTTGATGCTCAAGAAAATTGAGGGAAAGAAAAAAAATGTTGTTTGTGGTTCCAAAAATAGTTAAAACCTCAGTCAATTGCGCAAAGTAGTTTAAGCAGTGTCATGAGAACTACCAAGACTCAAAGTCCAAATTCATCTATTTCCATTTTTACATATAGTTTCCCAGCAAACAAACCAGTAGTTAAACTACGCCTATGGATTAATAAAATACAACAAATGAGTGAAGAAAAAACCATTGCATATAATTTATACTATTAATCGCGAAAAGACCCTCGAGTCAGACGAAGATCAAATACAAGAGAAAGACCAGGTAATTCAAGCAATATATCATCAAAATCAACCATCAAATCCACTTATTCAAATGCATTAGCAAAATTTCAAGAAACCCATGCACCAAAAAACTCCAAACCGCAAGATCCAAACCACAAAATACATATATCTACATATATTTCTCGCATTACATCAAAACCACCCATTCTAATACTAATTACATTGTCTGAATATGTATTTTGGTATAAATTAATACATACATACAAATACATGAACCGCATCACGTGAACTTACCGCAAACGGGTTCACTTCTTCGTCATAAGGAGTAGAATCATAACGGCGAGCCATGAGAGAGAATCAGAAGAAAAGTAGAGTCTTTTGAAACACCAAAAGCTACAAAAACAGAGATATGAAGATCTGAAAAGCGGGACAGATGAATTTGAAATGAGGTTTTAATTTCGGGGTTTTGTTTTGGGGATCAATTGGATGAAAGATGACAGAGAATGTGTTGGCAAAGCGCAGAGGCTTTGGATGGGACGAGGACTTTTGTTTTTGGGTTCTTTCGAGTTCGTTTCTTTCGCAGGAAAAACCTGAAAACAGCACAAACTTTTCGCGGGTGAGAATAGATGCAGGAAACAAGTTTATATATAGTTTGTGGTTCAGGTTCTAAACTCGGTTGGGTCAAATCGCGAGGTGACACGGAGTAGAAACTCGGTTAGATGAAACAAATGGGGCGGAGGACATTAATTGGAAAAACAATTAATATTTTCATAATTTCAGTGAATGAAGAGAGCTCAATATTGACAAAACCATTTGGATCGTGCATTTTTCAAAGTTTAAAAAAATTCAAGAATATAGTTTAATGAGAAAGAACGCTTGCCTCACATTATTTTGAAAGCCTTACTAGTTTGAATTCTCTTTAAGCTCATCGGATATTTTTCAAAAGACTTTAACAATTTGAAGGTTAAATAAAATTTTATATGATGAACTTCACTCAGATACTCAAATTTGTAGAGGAAAATAAATAAATAAATAAATAAGAATAAAAAAAATAATTCTTAATTTACAATTACTAATTAAAATTCAGCTCTTAAACATTTTAGTAGAAAAATTTTTATTTCTTCACCAACTGTGGTGTTTAGGTTAAAAGTTACATATGATATGACCAATTTATTTTCTTCCTTCTAAATTAATAAATGACCAAGAGCATAACTTAATTAAGGTTTCACATTACCCACATCTATACATACATTTTACCCGCACTTGAACCTCGGTACTCTCTGAAATTAAAGAAATTATGGGCTTGCTTGAATAGTAGTTATAAAAACAGAAAGCAGTACAAAAATCTGCTTGATTTAATTTTCAAAAAACTACTTTTTAAAAATTCAGTAATAAAAATACTTATTTTTAAATAATTATAAAAAATTGTTATATGAAAATAATTTTATATTCTCTAAATTTTTAAAAATTATTTTCAAACTTACAAATTAAACAAGTCTACACTATTGAACTTAGATCCCCTTCCATAATAGAACATGTACAATTATTATTAAACGACCAAGACCAAATTTCCTATCTAATTATATACCGTTTGCATCAGAAAGTGACCTGAGTGGCATGTTTGGACCTCTTGGATACTTTGTTTTTTTTCTGTTGATTGTGACTCTCTCTTCCTGTTATGATGATAGCTCTGTACTTTAGAAAAAGAAAACAAAAAATGGAAAAGCTATCCGGTCCGAGTATAAATTTAAAAAGCAGATATCAAATTTGTGTCAGCTCAGTGAAATAAAAGCTTATCCTTTGCAATCACATTTAATGCCCCACATGATGTATTATTGCATAGGAAACGAGACGTAAGAGCATCTCTAATAATTTGTTAAAAAAAAAAAATTATGTATTCTATTAAGATACACTGTCAAATCTCCAAGAGCTTGACCTAGTTTGTAAGGTAACGACCTGAAAACGCTCATGTTCCAGGTTCGAACTCATCCATCGCCATTATAACTCTCAACTGAAATTGTTATTAAGGTGTGAAACCGTCGACAGCATCCCCGGTTTGTAGCCTGAGGTGGGTCCCGAAGGGGCCCTGCCCAGGTGAGTTCCAATGCTAGCCAAAAAAAAAAGATACACTGCCAACCCATGTGTAAAAAGGTTGTGTATTTTACACAACCCTTTTACACAGCCACATAAGTACATTTTCTCTCTCCTCCCCCTTTCACACTCGCGGTTCTCTTTCTTCTCTCTTATTTCTTTACGCCCCTTTATTTCCCACTTTTAGAGCGCCATAAAGAAGAATCTGCAACTGACAGCAAGATAAGAACTATTCGACCATCTTATATTTTTCTTTTTTAATAAAAATAGGTTGATTCATCACTTTCGTTTCTTGTTATCTTCTGTAATCATCGTCGTAGATTCTAGAGTTTTTTTAAATTTTTTATCCTTTTACATTCTATTCTAATGAAATAAATATGTACCAGCCAAAGATTACATATATATTTTAATCACGATTTTATATAATTGTTATTTAATACAATTATACAAATTATTATTATTATTATTATTATTATTATTTTAGTGATTAGTCAATTCAACCGCAATTGTTGTTGCATATTTTTTGTTTTTGTAGTAAGTGAAATATAAGAAAAAAATAATTAAGGAGGATTGGGACGTGAGATTTAATCGCAAAAAAGTAAATGAATCAAATAAGTTTGTAAAAGTTAAGTAAGATCTTTGGTATGACACGTGGTTGATTATTATTGGGAAGTATTTTTTTTACACAAAAGCTATAAAATAACTGTTGAAGCTAAAAATAGGTAATACAAGTTTTTTTTATGTAAATCTACTCTGACACATCAAATTTACACAAAAATATATACACAAGTGTTGAAGATGCTCTAACCAAACAGTTTCAACAATTCCACAGTTACTAAAGTTTAAGCTCAGTAAAGTCATCAAGAATTTATATTCCAAAAAACAATGCAACTTTGGATACATTCCTCAACCAAAATTCTGATACAGGATTATTTTAGACAACTTACCCTAAAAACATGTACAGATCAAACTAGCTTCTTCCATTCTGAAAGATTTACTACTCAATTTAATCTTCTACTTTAGTTTTTGCAGATGCATAACAGATCAACAAAGATATGGTCATTAAAGGATCATTACCAAGTTCAATGGTCCGGTTAATCAAGGGTGCTGGAAGAGGTGGTGGCTCGGCAAAATCAATAAAAATATATTGCAATAATAATCACAAAGGCAAACCATAAAAAAATTTCATTCAAGAATTAATGGTAAGGAATAATTACGAAATAATGGGCTTAGCAGCGCATTTATGCAGCACAGCTTTCATCACATAGTTTAAATGAACAATAGAATGGATTGCAAACAGTTAACCCGAAGAATCAGGAGGACCAATCAAAAGGTTCTGCAGCTGGTTATCATCAAACTCCATTTAGGTGTGCCCTTGGTCTATGAACTGTGGGATGTGTTATCACCAGCATCAAGTCTGCAGCCTAAATACCCTGGGTTAATATCGACCAAATGAAATTTCTAGACCTTTGCTAATCATGAGCTTCACTATTTGAGAACTGAGATCACCGGTCTGTATCGATTAATCTCCCAGTTCCCATCATCTATTTGGAGACTCCCTCCGTATCATTTCTATGAGGTCCTGAACAACTTCAGACATCGGAGGTCTAAACTCTGGCTCTTGCTGGAGGAAGAAAGAAAAAAAGGTTAGGTCTACCCAGCGTGAAGAATGATAGATAATAGATATGGCAAAGGGCAAAATCCCTAATTATACATTATTGTGTAAAGAAAATAGAGAGCAAAAATGTATTAGCTCCACAAATTACTATCACAAATCTGGTGCACAACCTGGGAGGGCGTCTGAAACTGTCAGTTAATTTCTCAATGATGCAATGTTCCTGAGCTATATATAACAATATTTTTTGCATTACCATGACCAACTGTCAAAGCATCCATAAGAATTGAACTTTGAATCTTCATTATGTTTAAACTTGGGATGAAGGGTTTTCTTCTGTTAACTGGCTGCATTTATGTGAATGCACGTTTGCTTACATACGCTAGACAGTCTAGACCAAGTTCAATGGCAACTATTTTGGGATGACTACATGAATCATGTTTGCCATTCTGCTTTATCTAGGGGCATAATTTCATCCAAGTCATAAGTGTTGGGATTTATATGCCCTAGCATAGCAAATTCTTATTTGAATTAAAGTGGCATATGTTCCTAATAAATCTGAAATATTTATACTTTATACAATTGGTGAATTTAATGTATTATATTTCGATTCATTATGGAATTGATAGTGTCCACTTGATTACAAGAGATATTTATATATGTATGTGATGGCGATCAATACATGAATATAAATAGTAATCATAAATAGTTCATAGTCGGTAATTATAGATGGACTCATTATTAACTAAGACTTGAACTGGATCCGCGTTAGGTTGAGATATATTGCAAGAGCCGTCGTATGCAATTGCTCCCTATCACTGTCATGGCATTTGACTCTCAAGCATGAGAGAAGACTCTTTTATTAATTAATAATTATTTTGATTTGTTCGGCGGATACTTCGGAATTCATAGATCGACACTTTGGGTAGTTATGTAATTAATAGTTAGAGGGTTATATTCTCAATATTTGCATCAGTGCTACTTGTATTTATTTTGTATTGATTATGATTGATCACAAATTAAATTCGAAGGCCTTCGTATGTTTTAGACAAAATGATTTATTATATATTTATTTATTTAAATTATTATTTTTGTCAAACAAATGTTTTATTGTGATCAAGCCGGAAATAATCAAAGGTACCAAAATATATATATTAATTAAGTAATCAGATTGATGACTTTATTTATCCAATAACTAATTATGCATAGAGAGGTCAAAGTGTAACATTGACTTAGAGGTTATTTATTATTTAATTGGAGTTCAATTAATTTCTTTTAGTGGAGTAGAAATTAATTTATAAAATTAATTGAATTTGGTCCATGGATCGGGCCAATTATTAATTTATTGTAGCCAAGAAAATAATAAGCCCAAAAGATTCTCACACATAGCCCAACTTGATATTAGAATCCTATTAAATTTGAGATATGGTAATTAGAGATTGAGAATGATTTATTGTTTCATTTCCTTATCTTTATGTTGCCTATATATACATGGTTCATGTATATTTTAGGAGAGACTTGGAGAAGGAAAAAGGAATATATTTTTTCTCTCTCTAGAAATTTAGGGTTAGGATTCTCATCTAATGGAGGCTCCCACAAGCCTAGTTTTGCAAGGTCATTCATGGAGGCTTATGGATAATTCCTAAAGGCAAAACCATTACCAAGAAGATGGAGATCCAAGAAGAAGGCATCTAGCAAATGGATCTACAAAAAGTGAGAACATTCACTTTAGAGGAGAGATTTAAAGTTTACTCAAACCTTGATGTAAGTTTTTAATTTATTAATTAAATGATACATCATATTTTATTTTTGCATAAAACTTGTCTCTATGTGATGAATCAAGATCTATGTATGAAAATTCCTAAAAAAGTTTTTAAAACTTGCACGTTTCCCAACAATAAGTTGTCGTGTCCTTCCCATCTCAAACTGGACTTTACCAGCTCCTTTAAACTGCAACCTATTTTTATGCTCTCAGCCCATCACTTGCATAATATTTATGGTTGTATGTCTGAAAAGGAGCTTTTCTTTTCCTTCTTTTTTTTTTTCATTTTGGTATTTTGAGCATTTTGAGCATATCAATCTGCCAGAGCAGAGGTTAGGAAGACCTTCAATTTAAACAAAAGTCTCAGTAATCCCCATAGTATACTCATTGTAAAGCCCGAATTTTAGGGAAAGCAAGAAAGGGAATGCAGATAAAATGAAACTGAATCTCCTACACTTGTTACATGTGAAACATTCCGTATCGACAGACATAGGAAATCCAACACTAAACTCTGAACTCATGGTGCCAAACTATAAGAATATTCCAGGACTAAATATATGCAGAGTTTAAAACATTACTACAAATAAACTCACCTGAACACACCGGGAAATAATGTCGGCAAAGTGTGATAATGATTTAGCAGGGTATTCTCCATTGAGAAAAGGATCAACCATCCTTGCCAATGCATCAATATCATGAAGCTGAGGGATCGCCCATCTGACCAAAAATTGCTCCCCACGATTCCGTGTCCTGAAATTGATTTGGAAGAAGATAAAAAGTGGCCAAAATGGGTGTCACATCAGTGACATCACAAAGAAATATGGTTCTACTTCTTTCTTTACCTGTCATGTGACTTTCTGCCTGTTAGTAGTTCCAACATCACTACTCCAAAACTGTAAACATCACTCTTGGAAGTATAAATTCCTGACTCAAATTCTGGAGCACCATAACCATAAGCTGATAGGAGGTGTCCTGACAACTGAGAGTAGATAGAACAGTTTAACACTGCAGTAAGGATCCAGACGTTTTCATGGTAAATAAAATAAAGAAGATAGATTCATCACATATTGTTACGACAAACGCAACAAACACAAGATAAAACCAAGAATCACGACAGAAAATAAACAAGCCACCCCCAAAGAAAACAACAGAATTATATGTGATTCGGCAAAGCCTACGTCCACGATGGAGATCCAGCGAAAGTCTTCACTATGCGAAAAATAGGAGATTAAAAGTTTCAGCCCCTCTTTCTCTCTACGATTTTCAATGTCTCAAAATCTCTACCCACTCCAAACCGTAAACACCCTTATATATAGTACTAATTAGGGTCCACGACGCACAAGCAAAAAAGGGGTCAAAAATTTTGGTCGGCTTGGGCCCACACAAAGCTCATTCAACGGGTCGCAACATCACACATATCAATGTCACAGTTGTATCAGTAAGTCAAACTTCCTTTCTAGGATGTATTTTTTTTTCTCAATATCAAATGGAGGCTAAACAAATGTATTGTAACTGACATTTAGGATTAAGTTTGCAGCTCAATTTTATTACATAAACATTGTATTATGAGGTTTTGTTACAAATATTCATATAAAACTTACTTTGATTGCCATCAACTGCCCTCTCAATGGTTGGCCTAACACAACACTTGCTATTGTTATACTGCCTTTTGCCCTTTTTGTTACCAAAGAGGCTACTAACATGTCTATAGCTCTTCTTTTGTTTGCCCCTCTTTATCTGTATTTTGCTCTTATATGAGTGGTGGCTCTAGGGTTTTTCCTTTCCAATGTTAACCTGGAGTATGCCCCTTGAAAACATGTAAATTTCCTTGTTTCTATATTACACTCACCTGCTTACTTACCAAAAAAAAAAAAAAAAAGAACCATCAACGGTATCCTGATAATCACAATGCCTTAACAAACCAATTAGACAAGACACACAATGCCACTTTTATCATTCAAGACCAAGTATTTAGTTCGCAAGTCTGAGCAAACTTTGTTAATTGTCTTCAACATTAAATCCAATTTGACCAGCTAATTGTTTCCAAGCTTAAGGAGCAGAACAGAAAGCACATTTGGGCTCAGTTTATCTGAGGGAAAAAATTGGAAAAGAAATGCACTCATGCCCTGTAAGTACAATGTAACGGGGCTTTCCAACAACCCTTTCCAAAACTGTAGCAACGGACAAAGCTTAACTTAATTCGGCAAAGAAGGATCCCGCTCAAACCAACTAAACTCATTAAGCCAAGAAGAAATTACTCCCTTAAATTTGATCCTGCGTGGGGGCATTTCATTTGTTCATTTTTACTTACCCCAAAAAAAAAAAAAAATTACTCCCTTAAAAATACAAAACAAAATCCACAAAAGGACTGCCAATACTTGAACAGAAAATAATAAGTGTTCTCGTAGTCATTGCCGCTCGAAGGAGAACGAAATCTAGCCTGAGCAGACAATTAAATATGCTGATGACTGATCTCTCGTATTTTATCACACTAAGAAAGGAGCAAGGAAGATCAATAGCCCCAAAAGCAAGTCCAAAATTAGAAATGAAGATCATCCAACAAAATATCCACTAAGCCTACTGGATACCCTTGGAACAAGCCACAACAATTCGCTCATGAGTACAGCATGATGCATGCAGGATAATTATTTTTCCTTGCATCCTGACATGAGCATCAACAATCCACACATCTGGCAGCTGCTGCTTCTAATATTCTTTAAGTCAAATCAGCTAAATATCAGTGTCAATCTTTCAGTATGATAGCTTTTGTCCCTTGCTATGTACGCCATCTCTTCACTTAGCTTGTTAGCTGCACTTCAATGAAGTTGCTCATTCTAACAAATAGTTCAAAATATAGATTCCAGTAACAATCCAATCTTTTGACTTGTTAGTCCCAACTCAACGAAACCTGTGGAAAATAACTTTCCAAAGAAAGTGAATCCATGTCGTGAGACTGGAAATCACTGACAACCTGAAGACAAGAAAGAACACTAGAACACAGAGAACTCTACACTAACGCTCTCAGGATTTCTTGTGTTGCGCATTAGATTTAGTGCAGGGTCCCATTTATAAAATCGAACATGTCCCTTCATGCATCCTTACAGTAAGTCATATCCTTTCGCAATGGGTCATGTCCTTTGGTAAGGAGTCATATTTTCTCAATCCAAGGGAAGTATACATTCATTTTTGTTGAATAGGTATCACATAATAAAGAATTAATATCAATATAATGACCAATTCCTATTGGTCCTTCACATGGAAGAGGGTGACTAAATAGTCATGTTTGTTCCATCCTGAAGTTACCATTGGAAAATTAGTTCTTTTAGAGTCATTTAGCTCAAAGTCTTCCTTGTGTGTGATGCTCACACTATAAGAATGGTCTTTTTCACCATGTTCCCTTAGGCTCATTATATGGAATATAGTGCCTAATGCGATGTCCTCCATTGTTCACAACTATACAATAAATTGTTTCTATTTATTATTTCTTTTCATCCACATATTTATTGTGTCCGCGATGGCCAACATGATGTTGTCCATACCTGCACATATGTAGAACTGGTAATATTTGAAATTATAAAGATCAGGACCTACCTGACTCACAGAGCCTGATGATATTAAAGGAGCCAAACCACAATCGGAGACTTGTACAGCAAGCTCATCGTCAAGAAGAACATTGGCAGACTTGAAGTTTCTGTGAATAATAGGGGGCTCACAAACCTCATGCAAATACCTTCACCACATAAAACCACGAGAAACATTATTACTCTAAATAGTGGATGCTTTCACAGAAATATTCATGCAAATGAATTTTAGTCAAATATTCTTGCAAGTGAAAAAAGAAAAAGAATGCCCTTCCCCACTCTTCCCCAGTTCCTCTATATGTTGTGTGACTTGTGTCTTCACATATCAGCCTCTCTCCCTTCCGAGACTTTTCCTGACTTAAACTTTGTAGAATCACAGTAGCCTCCATGGACCCTATGGAATAATACTAAGTGACGTGGAGCCAAGATGCAGTCTTACTCTTGCTCAGTTCATAAACAAATTGAGTTTATAATGAGTGCTTTAGTTCGTCTTGCTTCTAAAGTGAGGACACATGAATGATCCTATTACCATCAAGAGACAAAACCATTCATGATCAACTACATTCATTTGCAGCCCTATGAACCATATTAAAGGACAAAGGCCTTCCTTTGGGGATCCTAACCAAAATTGAGTAACTGCCGAAAAAGAATATATGGCATATCAGAAAGCTCTTATTGAGTCATTTGGCATGAACTCTTTACTCACTTTTACCCACCTGAGTTTCTTCATTTATGTTCTTACTTCCTGGAATTGTTATACCGAAATTAACTAACCAATAGCATGTTAAAACAAAAGTATCCAAGTTATTAAATATTGAAACTCTTTTGTTCCATTTCTTTCTTCAAAGCACCAAAATGAAATTTACTTGCATGCAAGAAACAAGAGAAAAGAATGATGTTGAGCTATATTAGAAATGATTGCCCCAGCGGTTGTTTGACTTACTCCAAGGCTCTTGCAGCTCCGAGTGCCATCCGGATGCGGGTAGTCCACGAAAGTTTCTCCTTAAAATCATCATCTGAGTGCAGTGCATCTTGCAGTGTCCCATTACTGCAATACTCATAGATCAGAAGCCTTTGACCATGCTCTGCACAATAACCCTTGAGCTCGACAACATTAGCATGACGAATTTTATCGATACTGTTTACAAGATCAAGAAACTCATCATCCTTCTGTTGACTGGAAGCCCTTTTGTCCAATTTCTTGACAGCTAGCAACTACAAAATCATCCAAAAAGATCAAATGTCAGGTTTGAAGGTAATCTGTCAAATATATCCCAGGAGTAGAACTAAAGAGAATTAAGTGAGTAAAGTACAGAGAAAAAACTGAATACAATCAGCAGCCCAAGAGTAACACAATCATGTGTTGATTTGACCCTATCAATTAAGAAAATTCCTGTTTTGCGTGATCATTAATCTAGCAGAACTCAATCTTATCCCCCAACTCCCTCAATAAGGAAAAGAAAGAAAGGAAAAAATGGATGGAAAAAGAACAAGACAGATTTGGTTGAACATGGCTGAATAATTTGACTAGAAAGAGAATTTTTTTGTATAATTAAAGCATGAAAAGATATTCAGTAATTCCTGTGTAGTATAACTATCTTATAAAAATAAAAAATAAAAAATATCCTTTCATACACTGTTCCTGACTTCCTGTTTTCATAAAATTTTGGTAAAATGGCGTCTGTTTGAGTAACCAAGTTGCCCATTAAACAATAATAACAGTTCAGAAAGTGAAATTCAGTAATACTTGTTAAAAGAAATGCAGCCCAACAAAAAGCTAGAAGAAACAAGTAATTTAGAGATGGACACTCTTCCCAGAAAGAAAAGAAATGAAAAAACAAAAGCAAACAAACAAAGAAAAAAATATAAATATCAATACCAAACAAGATTGATTGCAACAAAAACTAAAATAAAAAATAAAAAAATGGAGGATTGATTGGTTTTTCACGTTGGTCTGAGTTTTTTTTTTTTTTTTTGGTGCAATTTATATGAGTGGTTGTAGTCAAGATTGTCATAACACATGTAATTAATCCAGTACCGACAAAATATGTGTGTGGATGTTCTTAAATCGGTGTACCCATTTAGTTCAGCTGGTTCGATACTAATTAGACACACAAGGACTGATGAAAATAATCAGCAGCAGATGGAGTTAAAGGGCAGAGCCAACGAACTAAGACATAATGTTTAGGCTATAAAGGTCCACGGCAAAAGGAAATAAGAAAGAAAACCCTAACTAACCCGCATGAATTCAATTACAATTGAGAATTATACCCTAACTAATCCCCATGAATTCAATTACAATCGAGAAGTATACCTTTCCATCAGGAAGCTGAGCTTTATAAACACTTCCCAGCATGCCGCCTCCAATAAGATTTTCTTGAGAAAAGCTATTTGTATATTGCTGAAGAGATGCAATTGTGTAAGACTTTACATAAGTTGGAAAATTCAGAGGTTTGGTGGAACTCTTCCCTGTAGTTACTTCAGCAGGCACAATTGGCTTTACAACGACCTTCTCAAAATAAGCAGGTGGTGGTGGTGGTGGTGGTGGTGGTGGTGGTGGAGGGGGAGGTGGCGGCGGCGGTAGCATCGAATCAATATCTATTCTGCCCATATCTATCTCATGACTGTCCTGTTTCGGTATTGCACTCAGTCTTTGCACATTTAGCTCCTGCTCATTATGTGGCTTGGGGATCTTACTAATTTTTCTTGGCCCTGTTTGATGTTCCTCCTTTGGTCCAACTGCCATTTTTGGAGCTGTTCAAAGAAGTTAAGATTGCCATTAGTCATGGGAAAACATAACCTTACAAGGAAGAGAACAATTTACATAAGAAAATGAATACAGACTAAACAAACTCGCTGCTACCTTTCTCCGTTTGATTGCTTGGTTGGACTAAGGATCCATTATCAATGGTGTTATCTCTGCTGCCAGTATATGGAGCTATTTCTTGCCGCTTGGAAATCCTATCAATATCTTGCAACCTTCTGCAACATCTTGGCATAAAAAGCACAAGTGCTAAGAGCAGAATTATAAATAACAACACTGCCGCAATTGATATCCAGACTGTCCTTTTAGTAGTAAAAAACTTTTTTGAACTTTTGGAATTTGATTCCTCTGGTGCAGATGGTCCATCAGCCTGTTTCCCAGGTATTTGTTCGGAAGATGGTGCCCCAGAAAGAGGTGGTGTTGGTATTGATGATGTAGGTGATTCAGGTGGAGGTAATGGAGCAACAGTAGAGTTGAATGGGTTCCCATCTTTTCTGCACGGTAACAAGCAAAATTAGCAAGCAATGCACAGAGTAACAACTATATATTTACACCCGTGACCTCTATGCTCTTTCTTTCCATTCCAAAAAACTTCGCTGATAGCAAAATTTGACAGAAGTGACTAACTTAAACATCAGTTATAACGTACCATGTGTTCTGGCAGGTGTGATCTTTCATACATGATGTTTAAGTTCAATCAACGAAGGCTCATTTCCAGTTAAAAAATACCATGGTCTTATGTATTGTTTTAGTTCTTGAAGTATTGGCAACAGTCTCAGCAAGCTCCAGTGTGCCTTGACATAAGCAGTATAATGTGGTGCCATTGACATGTGATGACAAAACATAAGAGTATTTACGTGATACTGGGTTCATCACAAACGCAAGAACCTCACTTTGTCCACAATGCAATCTTTGGCAAGTATTCGACAATAATGAACAAAAATAGAACACTACAAAATGGAATTAAAGCTTCCAAAATCTTATCTACCTGTGATGCAATACGTTATGGGTGCTTGTTTATGGGAACCTATCAAGCATTATTTCAAATTCAATGTCTAGAAAATACAGAAAGCTAGAAATCAAAGATGCTGTGAAGACTTCTAAACATTTGCATGATTTTCACGGCCTGCTATATTTAAGGGAGATAAGCAATTAAGTGCATATTTCTACTAGTTGCGGAGCTTTATAAAGTATCCACTATATCTATACAAGTAACATTAATATACCACATATATTCCCATGCTTGGCACAGAGAGAGAGAGAGAGAGACGGTGATTTAGAAATGAATATTATACTCACAGCTGTCATATATGACCCAAAACCATATAAAGTATGCATTCAAATTGTGACCAAAAAGAAAAATAAACTACAAAATTATATTGTGGCTCTTACTTGAAATTGGGGATGCTCAACAACTTGACAGGTATAGGTCCGGAGAAGAGGTTGTTCTCTATATTCCTGTTCAAAAGGGAGGAAAAGATAAAAATGTGCAAGTCAGGAAACCATGAAATGGAAGCATCTTGTCCTACAACTTCCGAAAATTGTTTACAAGTTATCCCTGAAATGTAAGCCATACAAAAAGAATAGAAGATCATCTGAAGTTTTTATGCAAAATGGTTAAGAACAGTACAAATCTCTGAGGGGAAGATCTTGTAAAACATCAAGGGTCCCAGTAAGCTGATTGTTCTGCAAACGGCTGTCAATCAAGAAGTTAGTTTTATCCAAATAGATAGAATAAGTGCAAAAAGAAGGGGAGCCCTAATGATGTAAATCACTCACAGGGTGGTTAGAGATGACAAATTTTCTAACGAGGGTGGCAGATGCCCGCTCAAATTGTTGCTGGATAAATCTCTGTGCAAAGATAAATTGTCCAATTAAATGTAATAATTTCAAAAAGTAGAGCTGGCAAAATGATAAATAGAAAATAAAAAGAAGGGGAAAGGGGGTTCCTACAGATTGATCAACCCTGTAAGGCCTTGAAAAGAATCAGGTATTTCTCCAGTCAACTGGTTGTCGTTCAAAGACCTGAAACAAATACAGAACTATGAATTAGGAAAATACATTTTCATAAAAGTGGGAGCAACTACCACTACACATCTACACAAACATGAGAGGGGCAAGAACTTACATAGCTGACAGTTGACTTAGAGAGGCTAAAGAACTTGGAATGCTTCCAGTGAACTGGTTATCTGAAAGGAAACTGCCAAAGGTAAAGACTATCATATGTTTCGCATAAGTAGGCAAGCAGAATAACTTAAAGCATCAAAGCTAAAAGACAGCATCATGTAAATAATTCCTTTTTCATGAAATATTATAAAACATACAAGTTCAGCATGGTAAGGGGCAGACTGGCTGGAATACTACCGCCAATGTGGTTGTTGCTCAGATCACTGCCATAAAACAATGGTACAAGCATTAATGACATCCTCAATGGATAAATCTGAATTATGTGCAAAAATGAAAAGAAAATGAAATAAGTTGTGTTCTGGAGAAGAGCAGATACACCCAACCCACTAGCATCTATCTCAGAGGGGCAGCCAGTAACTCAGCTTGTGGACCACACAGGAGGAAGATTAAAGATCAGCCCATCAGGATGATTCTAACTACAAGATGAGGATTTGACTATGAGAGTAGATCCTAGTAGTCATCATTCTTGCCCGCCTTAATCCCATAAGGGTCCGCCACATAAATTCTCTTCCACATTCATTTCTGCTACAATTCATCTCTCCTATTATATTTTCTTTTTAAAATAATTTATAATAACTTCAGCCCATGTTAGTTTTGGTTGACATTTCTATCTCTTACCTTCCATGCAAACAAATGTTCCTCTTCTTATAGGTGCTCTGCCAAACGGCTCACCTCTAAACCAAAAACCTTGGGAAAATATTTAAACTATTGTAAAACCATTAAAGAATCTATTAAGTCTTGCCAGTGCCACAAAGAGAGAGAGCAAGAAAAAGAAGCACTTACATTGCTTTGATAGAAGAAAACGATCCCAAGTTATCACCCAGTTCTCCTCCCAAATTAGCACCATTTAGAATTCTATAAAACCAATAATTTTAAGAGGATTATAGTTAGCAATATATTGTTGTATAAACATTATCCACTAAAGAGGACAGTTAGATAATAATTAACATACATTGAATTTATGTCTGTATTGTTACATTGAACACCTTGCCAAGCATCAGCGCATGGGTCTCCACCAGTAGGAACCCATCCAGGAAGAGTAGGGTATCCCAGAGCAGCATATAAATTATTAATTGCAGCAACTGATCCAATATAAAACAGTACCAAAAGTAAGCATCGGAGACAAATTGATTATAGACAACTGAAGGATAACTAAAAAAGAGCACAAAGAAAAGGAAATGAAACCAACCCTTGTTTTGGTTTGCCCAGAAAATAGAATAAAAAAGAACAAATTACAGCATATAGGTTATAAGTTGCATAGCCATATAAAAGCATGGCAATAAACGTGTCTACAGGTCCAATTACCTAGACTAAAAGTTGGGATAACACTAACAATAAGAAACAGACCAAGAAAAAAAAAAAAAAAAAAAAATCACTCTGGTGTAGTAATGCATCAAAGTTGTTCAAAAGTATTATAGAGAAGATAGATTTTCCAGCTCAAGATGAAAAAATATTGCTTTGGTTGCTGGGGAAAGGTAGAAAAAGAAAACAAACTAAAACGATAAATCTCACATTCCCAGCAAACAATATAACACTACCGTTTATCTGAGTTAAAGTGAAGTTAATGTGAATTTTCAGTCTATAGGAAATGTGGTAACACAAAATAAAAAGATTCAGAGCTTTACTTTGTCTTCTCTTTCTCACCATTTCCAATTAACCAAACAGTGCCAGAAAATCAGAAATGGTTGAGTTCAGTCTTACCATCAGCAGGATTAGTGTAACCACGCGAAATTTGCGCTGCAGAGATCAAAATAAACCCCACAAAGACCTTGGCATAGATTTCCAATTCCAGGTCATTTATAGCAGATCTCTTCCAACCCATTGATCCAAAACTCAAACCTTTTGAATCAATTTCCTCTCTTTGACAAGCCCTCTCATAATTTCCACATAAAAGGCTCTCCAATCTGGAAATCAAAGCAAAAACCACAAGCAATGTCGGTGATCTCATCATGGCTCAACAGTCACAAACCACTAGTTGCTTTCTCCAACAAATTTAAAAATAAAAAACAAAAACAAAAAATTAAATAAAAGAAGAAAAAACAAAACTTGTGACAACTAAGACACAACAAATTAATACAAATACATACATATGTATGGAATCAAATCAAATCTTGGAAAATAAATGAGCTTAGAGAGAACTTGAAGAACCCTAAAACATACCAAATGCTGAGTGAATTTCAAGTAAAAAATAGCATCAACAGTGAGAGAATCAGTGACGAGTTTACATAAAATACAGATTTTTGTGAATTAAGCAAAACTCAGTAGCTGAGATTCAAAGAAATCCAAATAGACGTTAACAACATATTGCATCAAAAAGAGTTAGCAGCAAATTTAGAGAGAGAAAGCCCTAACCTCTGAAACAGCTGGTAAAAGAGAGATAAAAAGCTAACGTTAGAAAGTTGCAGAGACTACAACAACAGTCTGAAACTCGACCCCCCTCTCCTGCTTTTCTCTCTCTGCTTTCTCTTTCTAAGTAGCAAAACTGTGCGTGGAAGTCATACATATCAATTTGCTTAATTTTGCTTGCGCATACATTGTTTTTTCACGAGCCCAGAATCACGCGCTATGAGATTTCGTGAAAAAAGTGACTTTATTACATACATTATCGTCTTGGGAAATCTAATAAGATTAGTGAATAATCCCGAATTAAATGGTGTACAAGTTAGTCAGAGAGTGAGTGTTCGTGTGATTTAAATGCGCGTGGTGTATCATTTTGAGGAAATTTATTAAAACTTGTAGTTTCACAAACTATTATGGGTAATACTAGCCGCCCTGCCAGTTCTCTCATATGTGGTTTCTCAATTTGGGAAAATTTTCTCCAATTCTTCTTCATGGTTCGAAGCCATGGGGGTTTACATTCCCGTGTTTAGAGAATGTTGTCATTGGTACATAAGAATGAAATAAAATCGACTAACTATTTCTTATTTGATATAAATTTAATGTGAGTGGAATAAAAATTTGTTACAACAAATGCTCCATAACTAAATATATAAAATAAACATTGTATTCTTAAGTAATTTTTTAAAAAAAATTTATATTCCCAAAAAATATTCATGTTTGAAGTCTAAAACCTACCACCACCTCGATTGTCTTTTATCGGTGTCATTTTTACCGCCGCCACCACACAATTGTTGCCATCACCACCACCTTCACTGTCTTCCACCTCCATTGCCTTCACTATTGTCATTTTACAAAATTATTTATTTTAATATATTTTATAAAATGGTTCAGTAAGAGTAATTTAGTCAGTTTGGGGTTTAAATTTATCGGAGAGACTTATTTGTACCAAATTGAAACTTTAAGAATGTTTTTAGTATGTGAGAGGTGTGATATGTATTGTAATCATACTTTAGAGATGTTTTTTACACTTAACCCTTTTAATTAATACTCCCATAAAAGATAGATAAGTGAGTAAAGAAAAAATTACAAATGAATAAAGCTTGTAATTTTCTTAAATGCACAAGTGCTAGAGGGAACAAATTCAACCTTAACTATTGCACAATCCAACCTCGAAACCTATTTCGATTTACTAAAATGCGCTGAGCTCAAGTAAAGAAACACTTCCATCTCTCTCACAAATTTGGACCTCTTATTGTGCCTTGGTCTTGTAGTGCATATAGATTGCTAATGTAACCCATTATATCATAGTATAACAGGTACATAAAAAAAGTTATTGTTACATAAATAATGTAATATGAGTTGTTTCATATGTAATGTAATAAGATGAGTTGTTTTATATGTAATGTAATAAGGTTGGACACAGCAACCATAAAGTAAAACATGAGAGGATCCGAATTCTCTTTCAAATATTTCACATGAAAAATTATTACATGATTCCGGAACCAATCATATACTAAACACATAAAAAAAAATTATAAAATTGACACAAAATTGTTAGCACGACCAAGACCAATAATTTCAAACCCATATAATAATTTCTTCACATGTAAGCAATCTCTTTCTCCCTTGCTTTATCCTTCGCCTCCTGCCCCGTTTCTTTCCTCCTGCCAAAACAAAGATAAAGAAGAGATTGATTATTTAAATCACATATGTGGAATCTCTTGATGAAAAAATCTTTCAACTTTTTTCCTCGAAAAAAAAATGATAAAACACAGTGACCAATTAAAAATGGCCAATTAAAGAACAATCAAAATGATCCAAAGCCCAGTACGCCCACACAATTAAAGGGCGTTTATCAATATTTTTAAAAATTAAGCTTTATGTATATTCCAATTGAGAAAAGTCACTTTTGTAAGGTTACTCAATTTTCTTCTCTCTCTCTCTCTTTAACGGATAGAAAGAAAATTTAGTATTGAAAACTTTTTTATTAACGTGTGGTGAAAGGTCACCAGTTTTATTTTAATCTTTTTGATCCGACCATTTGCTAGTAGCTGTCAAGTATCACGGAATCTATTTGATATTTGATAGACGCTGCCAAATCACCGAAAGCTCCATTCCCATTTATCAAGACCTCCACTTCACTCAAATTACCTTTTAGACCTTTTGGCCTCAAAATTATGGGTGTGAAAGACTTTCCCGGGTCGGTGATAGTGATACTATGTAAGTTGTGCCGTAAATTAATTATATTTTGGTATATAAATAAAAATATCTTATTTTTATGAGTTTTATCATTATGTGTCAATATAAGTTAGTGATATCATATCATTAATAAAATATGAACAATTTCGTACGAGTGATCTACGGCAGTGTATGGCCATATATATATATATATTTGATAAAACCAATTCAGATTTTGCCTTTCACGAGGAGTTCTGCACTTTAAATATAAAATAATGATTAAAAGTTAGAACTGAACCTCAAGTCATCAAAACTCATACTTTTGCAGTAATATGCCTTCATATGAAATTCCTAGAAATCACACATGAATTCTACTTATACACATAACACGCACACACTTACTATGTATGTATCTGCATCAAGACAGCATAAAAAGAGAAGTGGGGTCAAAAGTATTGCTTGTGCTTTGAAAAAAATTCCACTTTATATTCTTTTGGGTGAGTTTAAACTTTTTCTCTTTTTCTTTTTAAATTTTAGATGAGTATATTAGCAAAATATTATATTTAAACAGGTGTGAATGGGCCGTTGAATTTGTGAATATTCGCACTTTCTGTACAACATCGAACATAAATTATCAGAAACAAATATAAATAGTTTGGGTGGAGATAGTTACAAAAGGTGAAATTGAAATTTTAGATGTATATAATTATATATCATGAAAGGGGGCATTTGTGTCATTTAAATGAGAATAGAAAGAGACATCAACATTTCAACAAAGTTTAGTTATTATAACAAGGTTGTTAGGTCACACTCAACAGAGGATTTGTTGGATATTTAACGGTATAAGAAGCTACATTCTCATTGCATCAATCAACGTTCAATTTCAATTTCAATTTGACAACGTTATCATTTGTGACAACATTAGGGGATGTGGTGGAGGCCCAACTTTTGGTGCTTGGGATTCATTATGGGACCCACTATTGAAAGAGAAATGTAGGGTTGCAAACTTGAACTTGAGGCCATTTGGCCCATATCACCCATCAATTATATGGGTGGGCGTTAACAAGTTTTAAATGATTTGGAATCGAATAAAAAATTGGATCAGGAACTAGGGCCTAATTTGACCCAATTCAAAGGGCTAGTCATAATATTTTGTTCCTGTTTCTGTAAACATGTTGCATAGAGTGGAGGTCTCATATTTGTTAATATTTCAATTCCAATCCATTTTTTTAAAGAAAAATAAATGAATGATCAGGGGCCAAAGTGGTGTATCTAACACAGAGATAAAAGTAATGGCATGTATATATCTAAGGGATTATTACATATAAATGGGATTAGGGGACCATATTTATTAAGGGGCTGAGTCAAAGTCCCATAGTTTCTCTAAAATGAGTTTGACCCAAAAGCTAAGGTGGCACATAAAAAAATACTGTTTCATATTTCTGTTACCTAAAATACCCTTCTTCTTATTTTATGTGTTGCCTAAAATGCCATTTTCTACACTTATCTAATTTCAAGCCCTAATGCCTCTTTCATATTCCATTCGTGTCGCCCTCTCTCTCCCCCCTTCTCTGTAAACAGCGATCAACAAACCCTTAACCAATTCCGTGCCTTTCGTGTGACGAAGAGGAGCGACGGCCAGCGACCAGTTGTTCAGTTCTACCAGGACGAAGGTACCTTTTCATTCTTAAATGTTTTCTGTTCATCTTGTTCCTTTTGTTGCTTAACAAAGTCATGAAAAAAGGTGTCATCCTTAGCAGGATTTTTGCTGATTTGGGTTCTAATTATTTTTTATTTTTTATGTTTTAATTTCTGTGAAAATAGAAGAATTTTTTTTACTAGAAGGTATTTAAAGTTCACACCCAATTTTTTTGCCTTCTTTTAGTTTCTACCCGATTCATCACCAACTGTTTGGCACTGAATAGTCATTTTTTCTCTGGTTAGAATATAGACTTTGGTGTGTTCATGCCTATTAATTATTATATATTCATACATTTTTTTTAAAAATTAAATCTTTATTCATTCAACTATGTTCCCTAATTTTCTTCTCTAGTATGGATGCTAAAAAAATTTAACAAATTTTTTTTTAGGGAAAAAATTAGATTTATGTGACCAAACTTGAACTAAATTGCTCTAAATTACGTACACAAATATTTTTGGATTATAATGGAATCGGTGATATTTAAGAAAAGTCTAACAAAAATGTCCAAATTACGTACACAAATAAATATAAATGACCAAAATATACATATTGCCTCACTCAAGCAGTGTTACTGTCGGTCCCTAATGTCCTAGTCGTGTCATCTAACCTACCTTGCCTAATAATAAGTTTATCAATCGACCAGAACGCATGAGTGCAGGATCCAAAATATCAGCTCTATTTGTTACCTGCAGTTCATGAGATTACGAAATACTGCATTACTAACTCGGATAATAATTTAAGTTAACTGAAATTTTATTAGTGAAGTAGTTATTTGTTGGTGGCATCTGAAGCATGGCTCATAGACACGGGCACAGATGAGTCTGCTATGACTCAGCCGGTGAGGAAAACTATAATCTGAAGACACTCAAAATGTAGAAACCATAGCCCAGAATTATATTTGTCCCTTCAACAAAGTAAGAAGTTCTGAAGATACAATCTCCATGCCAAAAATATGGGGACAAAATAAAACTCTGCTAATTATTGAATTCAAAACCTTCTAAATGCTCACAATTGCCTGAACGTGTGACCAGAAAACTAAAAGTGTGTTTAATTAAAGGCAAACATAAAAACCTTTATCCGTTCATTACTACTAAATCCATCAAGCTGATTGAGTAACTCCAACATTATCCGTTGGACTTCTCTATCCCCACTGACTTCACTGCCTTGAAAGAAACAATTTACAATCAATTAGTCACATTATGACATAACTTCTTAAGTATTTGAGGAGGCCCGAAGTGACATGGGCCGGATATGACCTGCAAACGCGACATCCGGTCCGTACAGATGGGTCAGGCCCATAGAAAGACACTGCCATATGGGCCGAACGCGAATAGCC